TTATTTTTAATCAATTTTGTGTTAACACGTTATAATAAAAAAAAGGATAAGAATAACCTAATATTATTATAGTGACATAGTGTTTAAAATTCGAAGAAAAACTGTATTTTTTTTAAAATCCTAATTTAAAAAAAGCTAAAATTTCACCCCTCTCTGAGAACCTAAAGGCCAATACCTATGTCCAGGGCCCCGCAATACTTAGCGCCGGCACTGTCAGTATAAATGTATTATATTATATTATACATGATAAATAGTAGAAAAAATGCTACTATCTTCAAATATGAGACCGAGTGGATTTTGATAGCGAATTAGATCTAGATAGTGTTTTTTTTTTGATATGTTAAAATACTCAGTATCTTTTTAACAAGATAACCGGGAAAACCTATTTTGTTCTTTGGCCTAACTCAAAAACGAATAATTGTATCAACTTTAAATTTTTAATACTTATATTAGCATCTTTTTATACATAATAAAATTATAAAAGTATTTTAACATTTTTTGAGCTTAGACATTTGACATTACCTATTGATATTTTTCCTACACATTTTGATCTCAAATTTTCATTTGGTAATAACTAAAAATCATCAACACATAATACAAATGTCCTTGTAAAATACTAAAATGTTCATACTAACACAGCCCCATAAATATTTTTTATAAGTGATTTTTATTAGAATTTTGTCAAATTCCCGAAAATGTGCAAATTATTTTGTAGTTGAAAATTCCTAAAATATTTTACCTAAGACTTTAAGATGTTGAATAAGGTTAATCTCAAATTTTTATTTCTGAATTTAAAAAAGAAAGTCGAGTATAAAACCACAAATATTTTTAAGTACTAACATAAAATATTTAATAGACAAAAATGTAAAATAACGATTTCATATCTAGTTGTAATTTAAAAACGAATAACCATAGATATTTTAAATATTCACCAAAATATGTTAATTGAATCATTTTATATACATGATACAATTTTCAAAATATTTAGTCTCTTTTTAAATTACCTATGCAGATCAATTTTCAATTATTTTTTTTAGTTTTTTTCTAAATATATTACTTAAACAATTTTCGCTTATTCAGAAAGTTTGAAAATTTAATACCTACTTAGTTCATTATCAGTTTTTATTACATCAATTTAAAAATATTAAATTCTACATGAGCATAATTATTTTTATACTTATAACTGAAAGCATTAATTCATAGCATTTGTTATTATTTCAAATTCAAATTTTTACTAAATTATTTTTAACTACCTATTTTGTTCAATTTATACACCTAAAGTTTGAAAAATGAATACAATCGGTTCCTCATAAGTAGGGCAGAAGAATCGTAGCTCTAAAAATCACCAAATATGAACTTAAATACACAAAATATGCATTTTATAATGAATATCTTTGAACAAAAACAAAAGAATTTTTCTGTAGGTACTTATAATTTTAATGAATACATTTTATTTACAACTTTATTTAACAACTTACAAGTTGTAAATAAAATGTATTCATTAAAATTATAAGTACCTACAGAAAAATTCTTTTGTTTTTGTTCAAAAATATTCATTATAAAATTTATTTAACAACTTACAAGTTATAATAAATTATTTGAATTATTTGGGTTTATTTTATAGATTTTCTTATCTGGATACTTCTCAACTACTAAAAAACAATTGACAAAATATTTTATTTTCAAATATTTAAGATTAACACACATTTCTACTTCGGAAGTTGCATTAAACAATAAGTTGTTTTTTCAAATTTTAAAACTGAAAACTTTTTCTATCGTCAGCTAACAATAATTTAAACATTTAAAGAGAATGTTTAACATCAACAGAATTTATAGAATCATACTCAAAATATGCTAAATCGCCAAGGCTCAAATTTTCAGGTATTCTGACCATTGAAATTTCTTCTCCAGATTAAATTTTTGTAATTTAAACTTATGTTTGGTAACCTTTATTTTCCTATAAAACATCATTCCTCTTTTCTTGAAACAATTTTCTCATTGTACTGGGTAGGTACTTGATTCAATTTTAAAGTCATTACGTCGGGGATAAATCCAAAATTAGATTTTATAAACACTCAATTTGTGGCTAGGCTAAGATTTGAAGTGAATTTTTCCAACTTCCAAGTACTGGTTTATTATAACAACAATATCTTTTTAACAGAAATTGTTATTTGTAGAAAACAATATAAATAATAATGGTTGTGTTCCTACATAATATTATATATTGATTCATGGTTTATATATAATAATAGTATAATACATTAATTATACCCATATGATAATTAATGAGTATTTCAGTTTTCTACGTATTAATTTAATATTATATTATTATGCATAAGAGCATAATATCTGCAGACTATTATTTACTATTACGATTTATAAAAGTTCAAAGCAAAAAAAAAATATTAAAATATTAGGTATTAGGTATAATGAAATCAAAATCAGTATAATATCTTGAGAATTGGTATAAAATGCTGACAGAAAATTACAGTTACCGAAATTAGTCTTTAAGGGTGAATTTTATGTTACATATATTTGCATATTTCAAACTGTTTTACTAAAAACAATATTTTGGTTAAAATTGCAAATTTAATATATTTTAGCTTATTTTGTATTATATGTAACATGAAATATACATTAAGCTAAGTAAAGACAAATACATTTTAGGTAAATTAATTTAATACAATTTTTTATTATTAGTTAATACAATGTATATTGACCATATTTTTTGCAATTTTTAATTATTTAATTTGTAATGATATGACTTTGATACATACTTTCATTTCATGAGAATCATTAAATTTAAATATTCTAAATTACTTATATATGTTAGCACATACCATGATGTTTTATAATCATAATTAAAACATAAAATTTAATTTTATAAGGAATGTTTTTAGACATATTTAAACACTATAAAAAGCATATCGTTGTTGACATACAAAAATCTTCCAATCAGTAAACCAAATTGTTCAAAAATTTACTAAAAAAACACATTTGTAGAATTAATATTATATGAATTTTCAATGTTATGCCACATTGAAGGTTTTATTATAGATTATATTTTTGTAAAGCGTACAAAGGTGGTTTTTTGAATAACATTTGGTGTCATATTATAAATGTTTAATCACACAGAAGGTATTTCATAGATAAATTATAAAAGGTAACACTTAGAAGGTTTTATTCAGATTTATATGTATTAATAGCTCAAACTAATGCCCTGCAACATTCTGCTCCATCTAAATTTTGAATAGTTATAAGGACAAATGCAAGTTCTCTTGATTTTCATGACATATAAGCTTACCCAATGGTAAATTCTCTAAGGTCTACTCCAGTATTACCTGAAGAGAACATGTAAACTTTCCAGAGTCTATAATAACTTTGTTTATACATTTTAATGTAGTATTTAAAGTAATATAAACAATGCCCATTTTTAAAATTTAATATACATTAGAATTTCATTAAAAAAAAAAAGTAAATTATTTAAATTATAATAAGTACAAAAAATAATGATAAATTGAATCAATTTCAAATTAAATTAAAATATCAATTTAATTTTTAGAATTATAATATGAATATTCAACATATACATAAAAAATGTAAGGTATCTAGTTTATGGTTTGTAAGTTTCCGATTTGCTTGTGACATGATATTAAAACAACTAGGGAAAATTTACATATTTCCTTCAGACAAACATAATGTTTACTGAGAGAATTAACTAGTTTTAAAAATTCAGGAGTTAACAACCGCCCGTGTATAAATTAATTACTACTTGTACAAAATTTGATTTTTATAAATTAAAATACTACAAATAATAGTTTTCTTCAGAATATAAAATTAAAAATGTATGTTTTCATTCAAAAGAGTAAATTATTAAAAAAATTATAACTAACAATAGTAAAAATTATAATTTTTTTTCCAAAAATGTCTTTTTTGAAATAATGAAAGTTTTACGTAAAATAGAGTATCCCGTTAAACTTTTTCATTTTAGACTTACTAAATTAATTAGTCAATTATAAAATGATTTATAAAGATGAAAATATGTTAACAATGTATATTCCAAAAATATAAGTTATAAAAAAATCAGTAATGTATTTTTAAACTTTCAATATATACAGCATTAAATTAAATACTATGATTTATGAGTTAGAAGTGCCTTTCAACTGTGTTATATTTTAAGTCGTACACAAATAAAAAATTATATTACATGCATAAAAAATAAGTGCAATAATATTGCAATTTATAAAAAAAAAAATACATTTTAAATATCACAAAGACTTTCTGATACATTTAAACTTTTGTTATTTTTTGATGTAAGTATTGTAATTTTGTAGAGATCACAGTCATATTTTCTTTTTCTTCAGTTTTTCATGCTGAAATGTTTAATTTACATGTTATTATATCCTGAAAATTGCATATTCTGAGACAATAAAATAAAATATAATAAAAAGAGTTATTTTATTTTTAATATACATACCAATGTAATTCATAGTTGGAGTTCATATTCGTATCCCGTAATCGATTTTTAACTATTAGTTTTTAATGTTAAAAGAGCTTCAAGTTGTTCTTCAAGATCAGTCTATAAATATAACAATTATAGTTTATACATTTTTAATGTTGACATGGTAAATTATATAAAAAAATCTTAACTTATTAAATTAAAATTCATAGACTAAATTTCAAAATTTTAATTTTGGTACACTTAGTTTATTTGTTATTTATTATTTACTATTAAAATAATAAATTTTATTTTATTATAGATAAATTATTAGCAATGATATACATATGACTACATTAATATTACATAACATATTTTGTACAACTTTTAATACTATTATTTAATTGATTCAAAAATATAATAAACTAAAAGTGATATGACAATATTGTTTAGTTTACTATCTAAGTATGAATTTTCTAAGAAATAAGATTCTTATGCAATTTGTTTATTTTTAAATAAAATCAATATAGAATTGGATGTTTTAATTTTAAAAAATCAAAGATTTAGACAAGATAAAAATGTTATTCTGAGTTAATTAAATCAATCACCTAATTTCTTTTATATGAAATATTTAGGAAGCATTATGACTTTTCATCAACCACACTTCATTTTCTTGTTAATTTATCATAGTATTTGCAGAAGATAATTAAGAATTTATATTCAAACCCACGAGAGAACCCTATTGTTTTTTTAGCCCATGCAGACTGACAGCTGCAACCTTTCCGAGCTACTGTTTCCCCACTTTGTTTATTGTATACAGTTATTGATGGTTAACGACCATAATCAAACATGTTGTTATCACAGCAAATTGGTGGGAGATCAACTTTGATGGAGTTTGGTCGCTGCCAGTTTCTCTTGTGACCGGAGTAAATTTAAAAAAAAAATAAATAAAAATGTCAAAAATGTACCATCATAAACCAAAACCAATAATCAAAATAGTATCTAATATAAATCATTTTTTAATTAAAAAATATTTTGTTAAATTACCTCGGTATCGCTAGGTGTAGGAACAGTAATTAACGGTGTTGATGATTTTGTCTGACCATCAGGCATGGTGTGCAAATTGTATGGAATATTCTTTTCTGTATGTATGCTACAATAAAACAATTTTATTTTTATTTTAATTAATTCTGAATACATTCTTTTCTCAGTTTTAAATCCCATTTACTTGATATTAAATAAAAATCGTATAAATCATATGTATTTATAATTTCTAATTGTACATACAATTTGTAATTAATTAACATAAAAGTACATACAATTGTGTTTTGCTTCTTAATTCATTATAAGTTTGAATATTGTTAGTTAATTTGTTCCCCTTTGTAATAACTAATAATATTTATCATCTTTTAATACGGACAGACCATACACAGTCACGTGTCTTTTAAAATTATTATTTAATTTAAGTTTAGTTTCATATGCTGAGTGAATTGACAACATTGACTGCGTGCCACTCGACTGTAGTGAAGTTATTTATTTTGTTTGCATTGAATATTGTTATTAATTCTGAATTGCCATTGCGACCTTTTTTTTTTATTATATATAATTTTTATAGTAGCTCTTTAATATCAACATCCTGGTAATTATTTCGAGTGTAATACATATGAGCCACCAGATCTTACTATTATACTAGGCTACTAGACTATGAGAATCAATTATGTGACATAGAATATTTAGATTTCATATTAATATTTAATACTTAAAGTTCTATTGTCTTAAGAATTACATAAAGAATGAATTTAATTTTGAAACATTAAATTAAGGTTATTCACCTTAAAAATGCATTAAGTTAGATCAAAGTTTTTATTTTATATTATGCATATTAAAACTACACGAGTAAGGGATGGTTATTTTTTGATTATTTTATTTAAGTGCTTTCCTTTAGTATATACATTAAAGAAAAAAAATTAAATTCTATTCTTTGTTTTAATAAGATAACTTCTAATTCACAAATCAATAGAATAATGTGACTTTTCAGCTCAGTTGATTTAGAGTAAAAACCCATTTCTTATTTGTATGTATCTTTTTATATCATACATTTTAATATTGAACTTTATTTTTTATCAAACTATGGTAAAATTATTAGGTATTATTGTTATTTTATTGTATGTACTATCCGACACCACTACTATTGCAGAGACCAGTCATAATATATGGGCTATGTTCATTGTTCATGTACTTTCTCGGTTTAAAATACAAAAAATTAACAAATATATCTAAAAAATAATTGTTAACATACTTAAATAATTTAAATTTTGGTACTGAATCTTTGTCACGCAACCACAACGGTGTGGTAAGTAGTTGATTTTGTAAATATTTTGAACTTTTATAACATATATTGGAGCAAAATTTCTGAAACAAACAAAATGATTATTCTAGTAGACTTACTTTTATCATAAGTCTAGGTAAAAATGCAGGTTCAAAAAACTTATCATAATTTTGATTATTCCCATGTCACAATTGCCAGGTAAGTTAATTTTTTCATACACACAATAAATTGCAGCGAAGTATTAAAAATATGATGTGATAAAATCAAATGGAAAAAAACCATTGGCTTATTTTTTTAAGACTCAAATCATATAATATTTCATCGTATTATAATATAGACAATCTAAAATCAGAATAGGCATTGGAACTTCCAAATCAAGTCCAGATGATAGTTTGTTGTGGAGAACAAACTGTCTACTGTCACTGGACAACAGACAAAAATTTTGCATTGCACAATATGCAACCAAAAATATGTCTTACACAATTCATAGACTGATCATAAATATGTTCCACAAAATAATAAACAACAAATCGCAAACTACTACCACTTCTATACAGATGCTTCCAAAACAACAAATGAAACCGATTTCTCAGTTCCCACAAAATCGCCTCTTTTCCAGCATGTACACTAATAATAAAAATAAGCAACTGTTAAAAAGTAAATATTGTATAAATACCTTTCTTTCTGTGATATCATACACCTTTTTGAGGGTTAGTGATATCTTATATTTTTGATTTGGTATGTTTTCCAACGTCTTTTCACACATAACGTATCCACAATGTTTTAATATAAATCTTTCTTCTACTACATCTTCATAGTGACAAGCATTAATTGAATGCAACTAAAAAAAATGAATTATAAACAAGATAATATATAAGAGATTAATTTGTTAAGAAATATAAAAATAAGCAATTGTACATAAATAAAAATAATTCAGAAGTTTTAGTAAATCTCAAAAACTTGTTGACAGTATTGTTTTTATTCAATTAAATAAACCTTGGAAGTTTAAGTACTTACTCAACTTGAAATTTTAATGTAAGAATAATCATAATAATAATAATATTAATTTAATATAATACTAATCATAACAATAATAATATTAATTAAAAATAATACCTATATTTCCTGGTACTTTTCTGCTATATGAGACTACAGATGTTACCACGACTACCACACAAGACTACTAAAAATGGTACTTTCCTATTATATGAGACTACCTTATTTTTCTTTTCTTCTTTGATACATTTTTTAATAATATATATTGTGGGGATCGCCATTGGCCACATTTGAATTATTTAAAAAAAAAAAGATAAAATAAAGAAAATATTTTAAAACATAGTAATTATGCATGATGTATTTTACAAGGTACAAGCCAAAGTGCCAAATTTGCCGAGGCATATGGAAAACAATAAAATAATAATAATAAAAAAAAAGTAAAAGTTTCCTAATATAGACCTTCAAAAATCCACTGTGGTGCAAGAATTCTACCTGCATTATTTTTGCGCTTGGGAAATAAGCTTTCATCATTTCCACAATTTTATCGGGTCCTCCAATTTGTCCTTATTTCCTTGCCTCAATATTTAGAACACAAACTTCCTGCAAATAGTTATTCCAATCTATTACTATATTTTTATTTGTTTTCAAATTTTGTTCACACCATTTTATTGAAGTTAACTCTTAACTCCAAGAAAAAATAAACCGTAATATAGAAACAAATGGAAGAGGACTGTGTTCAAACCCGAGACAGACATGACGACTAAAGCAAAAACAACATATGTAATATAAAGGAAACACCAATTACAAAAACTAATAGTATAGGTAATGATAGCTAGTAAATATAATCCCAGTTTATGGATATCGCTCAACTATATTGTGGTAATCGCGATAATAGCTGAAGTCTCGTATAACAGGAAAGTACCAATTTCCCTACTAAGAAACAAATTTTACTTAAATGCTAGTTTTACACATTTTTTTAAGCAAAAATGCTGTAACTATTATTATTTATCTTTACTTTTGGAATTTAACCTTATAAGAAAAAAAGATTTTCTTATGTTTAGCAAAAATATCGTAATCACAATTTGATAAGAAAAATGTCCATGTTTTATTTCAAATATGGTTACTCTCACCAAAGTAAAATTACTTTAACAAATATTAGATACAACATAAATTAACTTTCAATGTTGTTATATAATATTCTAACTCTACCTTATTTAACAGGTCTGCTTCTTCCAATCCACCATCAATTAACTCAACCACAATTTCTAATGCTTTTTTCTCACATTCCTTTTTTATTTTTAAAGTTTCAAGTATATTTTTTGATGACCTAGAAATATAAGAAAACAAAATAATAAATCTTTAAAATTAACATTTAACAAACTTACCGTTCTTTTTTCTTTTTTGTAATATTTGGTTTTTTTAAATTATCCATATCGAAAAAAAGTATCGTTGATACCTTGGTGATACTGATGTATGTAACAAGAAATAACAACCTTATCTTCAGTTGACCACTTTATGTGTAAATAATTTGTAATAATTTTCTTACAAACTTATATTGCAATAGTATCTAATACATTTTACTTTTAGTTTTCTGAAATTTCGTAATTAATATACCAGACACTAGTCTCAAATACAATTTCAAACGGCATAACTCATAAAAGTACAATAGACATAATTACTAGTAAATAGTTATATACTTATATACATATTATACAAACATCTATAATTCGAAAAAAATTATACGGATTAATAATAGCTATGATGTCTATTTAAATTACATTATTTATACAATTATATCAATAAGCTTAGAATAATTTGTTCATTAGATAAAGATATGATGTGTTATCAAAAAATAATATGATTACTGATTAGACTATCCATGCCGGTGGCGGTTGTACCACAGAATAACCTAGTTAAAAAAAAATAATAATTACAAATTACTTAATTTTTACTTTCTAATTAGGTAGTGACCAGCTTTGCACAACGCTAGCCAGTGTACACTAGGTATACAAGTAAACAATGAATAATGATGCTTACCTTTAAACAACGTTGGTATTGCGTTAATTGAGAGCCTTGACTTTTCAGCATTTATATACATTTTATCCTCAAAATGTAAGGAACATATTCTATAGTTTTTGTACAAAACTATAGGTTCAATAGAAGGTAAATTTATTGGACCACATTTTTCAATCCAAACGTCACATCTAAATTTGGTTAAAACAAATATATGTATAATATTAAATATAATACACATAGAAATAAAATAGCATTTGATGAATTTGCTTTTTGATTTAACTTCCAATAACTAATTAATATTGCTTACCTTGCAAGATCCTTCGGAAATCTATGGAATTTTGTTCCTTCAATTTTTGAGGAAGAAATGCTGGTGCAGTACAGCAAGCAACATCTATTTCCTCCCGAATACATTTAAAAAACAAAAATTACGATTAATTTGATTTAATTTCTTAATTAATAAAATAATTAAAACATTAATTTCAAATAAGAGCGCAAAAGTAAAACTGATGTTTTGTAAACAATCGCAGATATATGGACAGCTGATGTCGAAAGTTAGTAAACAAACCCTTATCAGTGTGACCAGACAGAAAGAATTTTACATTTTTATTATATACATGGATACACTGATATTCCACAAAGTTGAACAGATTTTTGAGTGCTCAGCGTGTGTCCATTCTGGTTATTCTGTGGTTGTACACCGAGCCCCTCCACAGTGGCACACTACCACACTGGCATACTTCGGCACACTGGCACAGTTCGGCACTTGGCACTTATGATCAGTTCGGCGGCGCTAAGAGGCCAAGAGGGCTCCTGCGACCCGCTCCGAATTTCGATGATCGACGATGCTAGGCTAAGCGAGAAACGAAAATGTATTGCCATTTGCCGGGCACCGGCAATTGCCACTGAGGTATCAATATTATAATACGATAATAAAAAAAATCGTGAATATAGGTACTTATGAATATTATAAATCCAATGTCTTATAAATCGGTCTTAAAAAATGGGTCTAAGCCATAGGTATGATGAGGTTTCCTTTTTTTCTAATTTCCAGTAATATAACTTGTGAAGAACCATGTATTTATTTTGGTAACCGTAGATGTTATAATAAAACATTTTATGAATTTAAACCTACAACATTATTTGCAAATGTTCGTTTTTTTGAAGAATTTCGTACAAATTTGAAATTAAGCTGATAAAAATAAAAATAGTGTGCCAAGTATTTCAATATTTTTTAATGACGATAAGCATAACATAATATAATATAATAAGAACCTTGTATAACATTTACTAGTTTTTTGGCCGAGCGAAACATTTTTTATCATCATAAGTTTAAAAAAACAAATAATAATCGAAAGTTTTATACGCCTACAAATAGTTCAACACAATCCTAAATATTTTGAAAATTGTATGGTGTATACTATATGATAAACGCTAACACAAATAATTAGTGAACATTTCACGTACCAACGGTCATTTTTTTTAGAGTTACACTAAAAACCAAAATCTATTTTTTGAAAACTGGTTCTGTCTAAAAATTCCCGTTTTTCTTTCATATTTTTCTTTATTTTTCCTGTTATTTTTGAAAAATATTGGGAATTTTACATTTTGACCTAGCGAATGCACCAACTAGATTCACTTTCCTACCAGAAAAAGTTGCTGTTGAAGAAAATCGAAGAACTTTTATAAGAAACTGGGATGATAGACACAAAACAAAAAAATAGATATAAAAACATGCATCATTGTAAAATCAATACATTAATCGCTCCTCTCAGAATCTAAAATGATAGCATAGGTATACATATAAATCAAAATAAACTAAAAAATAAAAGTCCAACATTCAATACAATATACAACTTTATATAGTAATAGCACAAAAAGAACCAAAATATTTTTTAAACTATTCTTATCTAGTAAAAACTACTATGAATATTAGAAATTCTTAAAGGTTTTAATTTTTTGATCGCATCAAAAAAAAATCGGATTTTTCAAAATTTAGTTTTTGTAAAAATTATTCCTTAATCCTTTTGCTTTTTTTTTTTATTATTATTATCTCGATTATTATTAAAATACAAAAGTCTTAGCTTTGACTCTCTTATAGTTACTGGATAATTTTTGTTACCAGGAAGCACCTTCGAAATTGATGATCAAAGTATTTTTTCTATACTATAAAACATGTATATATAAACGTCGTATCCACACAAAAAAACACAACATTATTGCTAAGATCTATACTTACGTAATACCTCATTTCCCTATAAGAATCTAAATTAAAACGAAAATTAATACAAACCTATATATTGTATAACGATATACTTTCATTTCTGAACTGTCGATTGATTTGTGATAGTATCAATCTAAATCTATTTAAATGTAATTTTACAAAACTTTTTTAAAATTATTATTTACCTATATATTAGAACATTGAAATAATTTGAGCAGCATATTTTCGTTTGTCATCGTCTTCACATTATATTTTACATTTTGAATCGATACCTATTTTAAGTTTTATTTCTGTATATAATATCTCACATAGTCGCATCCTATAATAATGTCGATTTTGGGGAACTTTTCATAATATCATATAACCATGAATATTATGTATTAATTTAATTAATATTAGTAATGTATTGGTATGGTAAAACTTTTATAAATATAAAAGTGCCTCTTTATCAAAAAGAGTTTATTATGCACCATGTGATGGAGATGTTAAAAAATAAATCTTATTGTATTGGTTTTACAATGATGTGTGTTTTTAGGTGTGAAAGTTCTATGGTGGAAAAAATAATAATCGGGAAAAAACAAATAAAAATGGACAATGGCGATAAATGGGAATTTGTATGCAAATCCAGTTTTCAACGAATTCGATTTTATTTTTTTGTTGTAATTAAAAAATAAATAACCATAAACACTTAAAAATGACACCAGAAATATTCATATCAGCAAATGTCAAATGATAATACTTGACATACTATAATTTTCAAAATATTTTGGCTCGTTTTGGGCTAAAGATATTTTTATTTTTATCTAGATTTTTTAATTTTTTATTTATGATCAAAATCTGTTTGTGGGAAAAAGTTATTGGAAATTTAGAACAAGGCTCCTCGTAAGTTATTCTCACAGAAAATAGAAAATAGAAAATTCAATTTTACTTAATTTTATTCAAATATAGGTATATTAAATATATATCAAAAAGTAAAATTTATTTTAACATACCCATTTTCACATGACTCTGTCGTAAACTCGTATAGGTACATCTTAAAATTATAAATTGATATGAATATTCTATCTGAATAATATTATGAAACGAATGTTACATTTTTTGTGTAATTATATTTCAGATAATTTTGTTCTTAAAGATGATTGATAATATTCATTGCTCCGCTGAGAATCTAAAAATACTATTTTAATAATTTTTAACTACAATAATGGGTTAAAATAGTTTAATATTCATATTATTTTCGCAATGTTGAGGAATTTTATCAACATTTTAATTTCGAACGCTTTTGTAAAATGTATTTTTTAATTGCCGTGCGAGGCCCTTATGAGGGATATTGTACTAAATAAGTCGAACAAACTAAAATAAGTCAAATTATCAAATATCTATAAGACTATAAATAGCTCTAAAATAGACAAATATTTAAAAAATGTTAACATGTATAGAGAACTCAAATTTAAATGTCTGAAAATTTTTTACTTTTGACCTAATCTAAAATAAACTTCATCTAAGCTTAAGAGAGGTTTGAAAGGAGCTAATTAATTACCCACTCTTGATTTTCAACAGAGAAGTTTTGTTCTTATTAAAGTGCTGTAATTATAGTGTTTCATTACATAATCTGTACCCTAAGTACAATGATTTTATTGCACACACAATAAAAAAAATCAAATTAAAAATAATCAACATATAATATTCAAAAATGTAGAACAAAAATTGTGTTACTCCCTTATTTGATTCCTTACATTGCATATAATTATATATTTTTACCTAAGCGGGAAGCTATTGTACTTACGACCAACTTACTGTTTTTGAAACACTGTGGAATATTTTTTTTTTTCATAATTTTATTCAATATTAAATTTCTTTTGATATAAATATATTTTATTTAATATTTTTTATTTAATTTGATATCAAAAGATAATCGAATCTCACTGAGGAGATATAGGTTGAAACTGTATAGTACCCACTACCTATTAGTATAATATACCTATAACGTATTTATTATATTTACTCCCCACCCATTTTAACTCTTTATTGTATTATTGCCTTAAATGTGTACGGGTTTAGAGTACTTGTCTCGGACAAGAGAATGAAGCCCAATTAAGAGGACGACACACCCGCATGTGCTGTCTCCGTCTTACAAATGTACAACATAGCAAAAACTGTTTCTCGCACCATATTTGCTGTAAAATTACCAAATTTTCACAACACGTAAAGAAGAACTTTATCTGTGCAACAGCGTGCTTTTTTTTAAATTACACTTTCCAATCATTTTTTATAAGCAAATGAAAAAAACAAAAACAAAATGTTTAGAAGCAAATAACTTTTATTGTATTTATGTTATCAAAAATATTTAGACGGTGTTGCATAGATAATTTTCTACTCGATATGTTCAGAAATTTTGGAGCCACTACTACAAACACAGAAAGATAAAAGTTGTCCCGCGCAAAACAGTTTTTGCTATGTTGTTCCTTTGTAAGACGGAGACAACACATGCGGGTGTGGCGTCCTCTTAATGATTATTATCTTTATACAAGCCTTGTAGGCTACAGCTTATACACTTATCTGAGTAGATAATATAGATAGTATCAAGGAAAATTGCAATCCACTTTGAATAATACAGTACAGAATAATTTTAATGTTAACAACACTGTACGAGTATATGAAATTTCTAAAAAATGTAGTTTATTCTATGAAAGTTCTCACAGTTTTAAATATTATTTTAGACACGTTTAATTTTTGCAACTGTTGTATTTTTTTTACAAATAAATAATAATATATATGTCCTTGCATTTAAAAAAAAGATGAGTAAGTATTTCATAATTACTAAGAAGTGAGAAATAATCAGTAGGCTAGGTAATGATTATGACTTGTATGAGTTATTACACTTACCTTGGGTAAATAATAGTTAATATATTATATTATATGCCACATGCGTTACCTAATTTTGACATTTAGTCATAATAAAATTAAATAATGATGTGGACAAGAAGATTAGGTACCTACTTAAATCACGATAATATGCTATAATTATTTGAGTTTCTTAAATTTAATTTGGATTGTGTAAGTGAAAGGTAATTAACTATTAATGTAATTTCATAATTAAAATTATGAACATGCTCAAGTCAACATCTAGTATCTATAAAGTAAAACTTGTAAAAACACCTAATATAATAAATTTAATTGTATATTTATTTTGAACAGTGAAAATAGATTGGTTTTTTATGTAATGATTCATTAAATGGTTTGATTTAAAATTGAAATACGATATAATATTCATTAAATGATAAGAATACCTACCTATATATTTTTAATTGAATATTAATGATGTGATAATTATAGTGTTCAAAAAATATTTGTTCAATCATTTTTAAGTGGTTGTGAATAATATTCATGAGGATTCTGAAGTCGGGGATTTTTATTCCGCAGTTTAAATGTATCACATTAGAAAAACAAATTTAATAATTTGTACTTTTCAAATAATGTTAATTTTTCGTTAATTTCTATGATAATGGTCAATTATACTGACTACCGAGAACGCAGAACCACCGTTGGGCGTTAGTATAATAGCCGTCGGTCACTATAAAAACTACCAACGGGTTACGGCTATCTTTATTCAGGCTATATTAGTATATTACCCACTATATAATATTATGTATATTGTATCTTTAGGTCTTAGGTGACAATAGCTCTAAGCCTGAAACAAATTATGAGTCTAATTTTTTGAATGTATGTATTAATATTTGTATAATTTAATACTTTGAAGTTTGAATAACTAATTAAGATAGAACCTTTCTATCTTAAACCGTGTTTTATATACTATAAATTAATATAATTTATTATTATTATCTTTTACGTTATCTGTTTTCTTACTTGTATTGACTATTGGATATTTTAAATTGACGATTAACCGTTGCTGTATTTAATGGGTACGCCGTTTGGTGTGTCGTGTACTTGTGTGTACGATAATGTGCAATTATTTTAGCATTAGGTTGCCAATTACTAATTTATATGCAGGCAGGCAGTCTGCATAATGCAGATGTAGGAACCTAGGTGATTAAATAGGAAGTTAATTTGTAGATGATGCGATTTGTTATATTTATATTAGTTATACGATCTGTTCTCTCAGTTCTTGTAGTTAGGATTTATTTTTATAGAAAGTAATGGAAACATTGATTAGTATTTTGCAAGCTTTTCGCATAGTCTATCAACATTCCCACCCATCACAATAACATTTAACAATAGAATATACATTAAACCTCAATAAATACTATTTTTACTAAGTCTCAATGTCTCATATTTATAAATATTTTCATTTTCATTTATAAAAACATAGGTATAATTTTTTTTTTAATTTTCAGGCATTGGTATAACATTTGCAAGAACTTTTCTACGAGATTATTAACCAATTCTCCGTGTATAGCCAACTACAAAGTTAAGACACATAGAAATAGTTCTAAAAAAAAAAACGTCATATTAGTAAATTTACTCCTTACTTCAATTATTGTACTTCTATGTGGTTCTATATTAGATGTGCAATAAATAATAATATAACACATTTACACCCAAGGGCTGCTCAAGAAACATCGTTGGGGGGGGGGGGCAAGTCATAATTTTACTGTCGATGTCATAACATGTTTTTTCGTAATTTTGTTTTTAACAACAAACAATTTTTTAGAAATACGGGCTTGGGGGTGACCATGGCCCCTAGACCCCCCTGAAGCCACCAAAACTTAAAAGTATTTTTCACCTGCTAGGCTATAATTCTTTACAGGCGTCGCTGAAAGCCACATAGTGTAACATACCTATACTCACGTGTCAGAACAGATGATTTGTAACCAAGAAATTATATGTGGTACCTACATCAAATATAACATAACTAATTTCTACAGACTACAAGGCTACCTACGACTAAATACCTATTACAGGAAAAACTGTGTTATGGTACCTTATGATTATCATTTATGAGTTACGGTCTTACCTAATGCATGAGGTAGAGGAATTTGAGGTCATAATAATCAGCATTGATATTAATATTTTTTATTCTCAAAAATATCAACACCTTGAAACTTAAAAGTGAATATTATAAAATTATTATTAGGTACCTAATAGGATATTTTTTTTTTTAAACCTCATTATAACAAATTAAAATATCACAAAAATAAGAAAGAAATAGACAAATCACACAGCCAGTATTCCCACTAAACGTAGGTATTTACCTATATTTTTTTAATTATTGCCATGCCACTTACCAGCAGTACGTATTACATCAACAACCGATGAGAAGTAAAAAATATTAAAAATATAATAAACATTAATTTGTATTTTATAATATTTGTAAAATTAATATAACCACGAATACGATGTTGATGTATCTTAGACCTTAGTTTTATACAATTACATGCAGGCATGCATGGCGTATAGCCATATGATAAATTAAAATATTTGAATAGAACACGCTGAACGACCAGAACACTTTTGTCTTCAAATCGGCACATCCATACATCAAGTAGGTACCTTATGTAACTCAATAAAAGTCTTTGCAGACATCGTCAATACATTATAGAGTTTAACACATTTGCCTATTTGTTTCCGTTTTTTTAATCATAATAGATTGGCATTAAAATGTCAATAATATGTGAGTTAAAACAGGTGGGTGACGCAATGCTGTACCTACAGTAGGTTACAAGTGGGTCACTGTAATAGATGTGTTAAATTTAAATTAAATGATATAGGTAACATTTTTCTATACGAAAAACGAATCTGAGCGATGACAATTTATCGGCTTAGGATGTCTTATATTTTTATTTTTATTTTTAAAATTTCTGCTGTAGCCGGTGCCCGGTAGGTTGAATCAATATTATTTGAGTATTATCATTTTTGTTTTTTGAATATAATATTTACTTTAGAAGTTTCAAGTACCCACGGGCCACAAATATTCTATACTTACGTGAAACCTTGTTTTAAATTTACAATTCTTAGCTATAAAAGTGGAATATTTTATAAATGTTAAGCTACAAAATAATTTGTATGCTTTCAATTCAATGAATTTTGTCAAAACTTGAACTTTAAATGAAAAAAAATCATGAGAATGTATTTTTAATAGTTTTCAATAAATGTTGTAACATATACCAGAAACCTTGCATTACATCTCCAAGCTTTTTGACCCAACGAATACAATTTTATTGGCATTTACAGAAAAAAAATTTAAAGCTGAGAATCGTAAACAGCTCAAAACGAGTCAAAATATTTTGAAAATTGTATCAAGTATAGAATTGAAAAAATAAACATATGGTGTAAATTTCAAGTATTTACAGCTATTCGTTTTTGAATTACAACAAATGAAGAAATTTGCTACTTGAGAAATCAAGGAGCTAATACAATTTTTATTTGATTTTAATAAGGTGGACATTTTTTTGTGATAGATATAGAAAAACTTATAATGAATGTTGAATTGAATTTTAAAAACCCTAGATTAAAAAAAAACACTTTTACTATATAATAATATACATAACTTCTAAACAAAATTTTACACAAAATTTTACACTTTTTTGGAAAGCATCATCATATAAAAAATTCCCGAAAATCGGTTGAGAGCTTAACTGCTTAGTGCTTACTGCAAACTGCTAAACCGCATTCGGCCCTATAGTTTATATTCCTAATAATAAAATAAATATACATTATGTTACGCATTTACGGTATATTATAGGCTGTATAGGAATACCATAAAATCAATTATGCACGCAGCGAGCGTGTGCGATTTCACTCAATTTCTCCAGAGAAACTTTACCGGTGTCTTATCGGTTTAGTTTTTGTTAACGTTATCGTAGAGACGTTATCATTGCGGACTTCGTGTATCGTGTATCGTTGATTCGATTTTATGTATGTACCCCGAATTCACTTGTTTGATGTTACTTGTAAACTCTGTACTTCGTATTTGTTATTCTACACGCAGCCCGCTGCCATGTAAGTAAAATCCATCTTTCCATCAGTTTCCATCTCGTCTCTCTCTTAATGTATATAAATTATCTACTTGTGTAGTTGTGTGTATTCCACCAGTAAACCGTAACCCGTATGCACACTGGTACTTGGTCGATTTACGAACCGGGATTAAACCGGTCCACGCAATGCGGAAATGTAGGCGTGTTCGGCGTTTCCAAAATTTCATTAAAACTCGGTGCAGAACACGAGCTGTTATCAAAATAATATGTCTGATGTCATAAAACTGTACCCGTTGGTCCCGTTGAAATATTATATTATAATCGCGATTGTACCTTTATGAATTTTGCCAATGCTTTCGATGCGAACGCCATATTATGCACATTTCGTGGCTTCGTGCTTTTGGGTTGGCTTCCATAGTTGATAATCATAATAATGACTAACGGGTGCCTAATAACTACATGGTCCGCAAACCGCATCCTACCTTTACCGCTCTTCCACCGCCCCTCCTCCAAACGCCCGACGACGACTACACACGTTTTCCCGTAGCAATAGGCAGATGAAAGTACGATTTATGTTTTGACGGTGATGTTCTTATTACATTAGAAATACCGGATACGAGTTGTATGACCCCATACCACACGGAATCCAAACCTGTTTTTTTTTGTTTTTGTTTTTTATTGTCCGTCATTATTCAGCCACTATAATAATATTCTTCATTTTTTCATATTTTACTTGGTTAATGATTTCGCTCAGAACAGATAAATCACATCTACATCCATTACTATTGACTTGTGTTCAATCTTCTACCGACACTCTAGTGTCCAATTGCTGATATTGTGCTATACATCTGTAAGTAGTTTACCATGTACATTTTTATCTACTTACAGGCTAAAATCAATTTTGTGTTTTATGTCTGACGGTTGTAGAAATCATAAATATATTGCTAACATAATTTAACCATGCGTAAAACACTTAATATATTCATGTTGATATCAGTATTTTTTTTTATAGTAATTTTTGCACTTCATATTTCATTAGAAGAAATATTTCCAACCAAGCAAAATGACGTACGAGACAGTTAAAACATTTTATACAAATAAAAACATATTTCTAACGGGTGGTTCTGGTTTTGTTGGGGTTTCTTATATTGAAAAAGTACTCAGGAGCATGCCAAATGTTGGAAGTATATTTGTTTTACTTCGGCCACGGAAGGGACAAGGCATCCAAGAAAGATTGGATACTATGAAAAACAATTCGGTAAAGTTGAATTTATAAATAAAATTTTTTAATAGTATCAGGTATAATTTTCATTTGTCATTACTTTGATAGGTATTTGATGTTATTAAAACTTCCGATGGTTTTGATGAATTATTAAGTAAAATAAAACCTGTATGTGGAGATATATCTGAGGAAAATTTAGGATTATCAGATGACGATTTCAAAATGCTTTGTGACAATGTTAATATTGTAGTTCATTGTGCAGCCACATTAGATTTTGAAACTGATCTCAAGACAGCTGTAACTGTCAACTTATTGGGTACCAAACGTATAGTAGAGCTGAGCAAAAAAATAAAAAACCTTCAAGTAAAGATGCATTATATTTTTATTATCTATTACTAAAATGCAATATTAAAAATAATTTCTACTCTTTTTTTTAGTGTTTATTGCATGTGTCTAGTGCCTATGTTAATAGTAATAAAAATTATGCAATGGAAAAAATTTATGATGCACCAGCGAATTATAATGATATTATTAATTATACTCAAACTACAGACACTGAGAAATTAAACAGCGGTGCTGAAAAGTTAGTAATTAAGTTAATATTCTACATAGTTAAAGTTAAGCACATTTAAATAAATATTCAACAGTTTTAAAACTAACTATTGTATATTGGCATCTAAATGCTAACCATGATTTTCGAAAAAAATTAAGATACAATGATTTACAGTTATATGACTATATAAAATGTTTGAAAATACAATACAGTATTATATAAATAACATTTATGATTGATTTCACTTTCAGAAAAACGTATAGCTGTCTTCTAAAAATAATTCTATGCAAAGTATATACATAAGCAAAATGACTATAAATTTCTTTCAAATTAGTTATCAGCATTTTTTCAGTGTCCAAAGTTATTTTTTTTCATATAAATATGAATGTTATGCACATTATAATTATGGGATTTACTTGTACACTAATTATTTATGTTAATTATTATTTTAAGAAAATTATTTTTTCAAACTGGGCCACCTATATATTATTTTTTTTCAGTATAACTGATAGTAGAGGAGGCTTTGTCTGAACAAAACTACTCCTCTGCTACCACCGATTATTGACCTATGTATTACTTATGTATGATTTTTCTTTCTTTAGGATCATGGGAGATCACATTAATACTTACACGTTCACTAAAGCTTTGGCTGAACATGTTGTTAATGATGCCAGAAATATTATTCGTACCTGTATAGTACGACCAAGCATGAGTATGTAAAATATTTATTAATAACTTAACTGAAGAAAATTGATATTATAGTTATTTCACAGATTTAAGGGGTCAACATTTTAAGATTTTTTTATTGTAAATTGTAAAGTATTTAAAAAAAAAATTAAATATATTGATATTTATTATGAAATTATGGTTGCTCACAATTCAATAACAAGCGCCCGAAAAGCTCATTTTTCTTAAAATTCAATGATTTATCTTTTTGTTGCATTTAAATGCATGTTAAAACATTACTATGTTCTCTAGAACATTTAGAAAATTAGAGTCCAACAAGAAATAACTTCGAAAAATTAATTTTGTTCAGTCCATATTATAACTATTATGAACAATGATCATCAAAATACTGCTGTGTATGATTAAGGTCAAATATTGTATGTCGTGTTTGTATGAAATAGAAATATTTAGTGCTAAATCTTACTTTGGGAATAGTTAATACTATCACTAAATTTCTAGTTAAATTAATTTGTATTGTGATTGAAAAAAAGTACAATAGTTGTGTGGATTACGCTATACAAAATACCTACTAATTATTCAGTTAAATAATAAAAATATTGTGCTTCATAGTTGTTGCTGCATGGAAAGAGCCTGTTGAAGGCTGGACAGTATCAAAAAATGGTCCTCAAGGATTCATAATGGGTGCTTCAAAAGGAGTAGTAAGGCGTTTACCAGTGAACAAGTCTTTAATATATGATTATATACCAGTAGATGTGGTGATAAATACAATGATTGCTAGTACATGGTTTAGTGCTCAATTGCCAGATAGGTAAATGTGTATATAATAACAATATAAATAATATATGTATTTTAAATTAATATTGTTTTGTACAAATTATAATTTAATTATCTATTTGATAAAAAAAATGTATTATATTATTTTGTTTTATGATTAACATGAGTGAAATTTAAAAATTCCATTTTCATTTTATGATATTATTATCTTATTCAATTTAGTACACCAACCGTAGATGGGCAAACACCAATATTTCATTGTACAACAAGCACATGCAATCCATTCCGTTGGAATGATATTTCATCGATACTGACAACTACTTTACATAATTATCCCATTCGTGGAGCTGTGTGGTATCCAAATATAAAATTTTTACCCAATTTATTCATGTATTGGATTTCTTCAGCCATTTTTCATTTTATTCCAGCTTACATATTAGATTTTGTTACCAAAATCTCTGGCGGAAGACCAATGTGAGTATATTTTATTGAATACACTGAAATTTATCATAATATAAACATTATCCATCATATACATGGCTGTTTTATATTTATTGAAATATATGCAAATACTTCATAATTTTAAATGGTTATAATATTTTGATGTTATAATTTACCAGCCTTGTACGATTACATAAAAATGTGAACCGATCACTCAGTAAACTTGCACCATTTATATTTAATGAATGGAAATTTGATAACGCTCGTACGCTTCGCCTACAAGAAGAACTGAGCGTGGATGACCAATCTGTATTTTACATCGATCCTACATCCCTAAATTGGACTCCATATTTTATAAACCTTACATTGGGAGTACGGAAATATTTACACAAAGAAAGTGATAAAACAATGAAACAAGCTTTGAAAAAAAATTTTTTGTAAGTGCTTGAAATTTTAAATTTTATTTTATTTTAATTTAACATATAATTTTACAGTTTGATGTTGGCAAATACTGGTGTACAGTTATTGGCAGTGACTGGAATTTGGTATTTATCTTCATTCATAACCGGTACACCATTCTTATCCAACTATTGGGCTGCATTAATAGTAATTATTTTTGGATATATTTTTTAAGTTCACTAATTAAAATAGTAATTAATAGTTTTTAATATGGATTTGGCTTTGGTTTGTAATTTCAAAATTTTACTATTGAAGTAATTAGAGAATTTTTTATAAAGGTATTTATTTAAAGTTGTATTAATTCAGTATTATATTATTAATTTTTTTTTTTTATAGCACTAATATTTAAAATTTTATAATATATTCTTTTTATACTCGTAATTCTTAAAGTATTAAATTTAAGTTGGTTTTTGTTAATTTTTTTTTAATTTCTAAATATAATAAATATTTATGAAGACCAATGTTTTGTATTGTATATTTATTATTTTCCCTTTTCATCTCCTTATATTTCAGCGTTAACTTTTGATTTATAATATTATATGTGTGGTTAAGATATTTTCACTGACATAAATCAAAATGTTAAGTTAAGACTTAAAAAAAAACACAATTTAAGATCAATATTTTTGTTAATCATTTAATATTATAAAATTGATTCTTTTTAAACATCTTTGTAATTTTACATAACTATTAAATACTCTATCATCAATTAAAATTTAAAAAAAAAATTGTTTTATATATTATAACCAATTCTAGAGTTGGACGAGTGCTTGACTTTGAGAAAAATGCTTGAGTTCCTTTGGAATACTTGACTAATACAAGCTTTTTATTGCCTACAATTTTACAGATGCTAATAGAGCAGGCAACTTAGAGTCTCTTGGTATTCTGTAGAGCCAATGGCCAATCCCTGCTAAACTGTTTTATTGAAAAAATAAACATAACTATAAATATCTCGGAATCCCAATATTTCCAGTATTCTTACCAATCGATAAAAGTTTAATAGTTTGAATTTACAAAAATAAAAAAATTTTATTTTCATTATTTAATTTTTTTCCTGTACTTACTAAATACTTAATAAACTAGCATTTCAACAGTGTTGGGTAATGACATAACATTAGCATTATTTATTAGAATTATTTCTTAATAATAAAGACAAAATGGAAATTACTTTTAATAAGTAAAAGTTGTTTTTCTCTAGTTGACTGGTGGCTAGGATTTCAAAACATTAAATTTAGGAAAAATGTTGAAAGTAGTTTGAAAATATACTAAATGCTATCCCACCACAGCAGAGAACACTTATGTTGATTTGTCCTGTGTACCTCAGTACACTTAAACCGAGATATACCTAAATGGCTATATTTTGCAGTAGTTTATGTTTGTTTTTTGCTCCCAGGCATAGTTGGCTTATACACCTAGTATCAGTGGTTTAAGTAAGGGGAGGAATCCCCTTTTTTATTTAAGGCAATATATGCTTCCTCTTCAATTTAAGTCTCCCGAGTTCGAGAGGACCCCTAACAAGAAATTTATTATTAAATATGATATTAAATATAAATAAGTAGTATCTTAGGTAGGATCATTTCTCTTGGGAGGAAATTTGTTTTTACATCCTATTAACATGAACAAATTGGTGTGTGAAAGAAAAAAATGATTGCGGTATAGACATTGTGGGCTTCTTACAACTGTTTGGTTAGATATAGACTTTGGTGAGAACTTGGGAATCCTCTATAATTTTTGGTGACGTTAGTCCCTCTTCAACATTTTGCCCACTTTAATTATTGGCTAGTAACTAATTTATACTTAATAAATAAAGAATATCCTTACTCAGAAAACATGCATTTTTATTTAAAATAATAATAATAAAGTTTATTGAGTGATTACCAATATTATTTTACAAATAATTTTAATCTTGTTACTAAAAAAATGATTTAACAATAATTATGTATTTATTATACATATCAACAAAATAATGTGATGATACAACCTTATAATACACGAAGGAATATATTTTATGTCATATACTTATCATAGGTGTACGCAGAGAGAAAGTCAGTGCAGCAAACAATTTTACCAGCCTATTTTTTCGTATAAGCGGTCTTGGGGGATGGTGGTAATGAAATTTATATTAGTGTACACTGTACCTACTGGCTACTGCAACGTTATGATGGGACAAGGAAAACCCTTAGTATTTTTGTTTTTGATCAATTACATTAGATATATATGTATATAAATCATATCATATAAGTCTTTAATGAATGTTAGAAATAATAATAATATACTGTAGTATGTTTTAAAGATAGACTTATTTAAACACAGAAAAGATTAGCTTGATAATTCAATACACTTTTTGGATAACTAACTTATTTTTTATTCAGTATAATATGGTGACTCAGCTTGAACAGTTGGATCTGTTTGGTCCTAACAAATGAATTCAAACTGTTCGGGGGGTAGCAAGAGCACACTGCCTTGGCCCTACCTGCACGCGCCTATGATACTTATACTCATTACAATATGGAATAATAAATTTAAATTGCCTTACAATTTATAGTTTTAGTTTATAAATCAAAGTATACGTCCGTTTTATCATTTTCATCTAATTTTTGTTTTGCATGTTCAATATCAGAATGAATAGTATTGACTAGTTCATCTATAAAAAAAAAATGTAATTTAAATATAATTTAGGTTTTATGATTTCAATAATAATAGTTGAACTTACCAACAGAGTTGAAATTTAATTCTGGTCGAATAAAACCAATAACCTTAACTTTTAAATTAGATCCATAAAAATCTTCATCAAATTGTTTAAGTATATGGATTTCCTATAAAAAAGTAATTAAAATGTATGAGCTACTTTCAAAAAGACAAATTTGGTCTGTATTACAAGTTGTTAACTACAGAATTGCAATTTTTAATTTTTTTTTTTTTGGATTTTCAAAATAATGTTTTATTTATATGATACTAGATTACTATATTTAGTGGTCAAATAATAGATTTTAACCTACCATAGACTTTTCAACATTTTGATAAAATGGATTCCAACCAATACTCATAACCATCATGTAAACTGGTGATTTGTCAACTTGTGCCCATCCAAAATATACTCCAGTGCTTATGTTTTCAGGTAAATCTTTGATTACATCACGACTAAAATTAGCTATAAAACAAAAAGGTAGGTACTTAATTTAAACATACTTAGGTACTTACCTATAATACCTAAAATGTAATTATTATTGTTTAACAATAACAATGTTTTTTAAATTTAAATTTTAAACTTATTATAGGCAATCAAAGTATGAATAATGGTATGTCTAATAAATATTTTGAAATATTAAATCCATTTCATAATTGTATGTAGGTATACCTAGCTATATTTTTGTTTTATATAGAATTATTAAAATCAACATCACATTTAAAAACCCCCTTTGTACAGATATAAAAATTAAACTATGATGAATAATGAATACTATCTATTTTTTAAATTATGATTCAATTTATACTGACCAGTAGGAATACCCAAATCCTTTGATCCTCGGCCAAATCCTTTAACAACTATACCACTTGCATAAAATGGTAATCCATTTACATTTGTTGGTTCTGTATGACTCATGGCTTGTGAGTAAATTTAATTAATTAAATATTATAAAAATTATCACAAAAAAAAATATGCCACATACATATACAATAAATATGATGAAAATAAAATCAAATGCATACCTAATGAAGTTTTAAATTAGGTATTATCTAAGTTTATTTGATAGATTAAGAAATAAGAATACATAAGGAGATAGTACCTATATCGAGTATATAAACTCAATAGTCATTAGTCAACTATGTAACATTTCAATAACTATTACACAACACATTATATTATATAAATGATATGATGTTCACATACACATATTTTAAGTAGTTACTTAATTATGCATAGTTTATTGTAAAATTAAAAAAAAAAAATGTTTATGATAATTAAAATTAAATGAACGACCAATAGGCAATGGCTAATAATTACTAAATAATAATTCTAGCATAATCGAAACGAAATTATAATTTATAATAATTTATACACAATCATATGCGATAGAGTGATAATAAATACACAACTGTTATCATGTTATCACGTTATTAAAAAAAAAATATTGTTATCTAGTTATAATGTAAAAAACCTACATTTTTGATTAATAAATGTAAATAGCAATATTAAAACACACATAAGATGCATTTAAAAATTAATAACATTGTTTTTAAATTTCTATTTTGATGTCAACATAATAGATCTCAAAAATCATATTAATTTTATATTTTGTTTGCTCATACTATTATTTCTATGTACCTGCTGGTACTAATATTGTAATTGGTATTTATTTTTAAGTAAATCATAATTTTAATCATGACCATAGCCATTTTAGGTGGTGGACTCGCTGGTCTAAGTGCTGCATATTACCTGAAACGAGAAGGAGGAATTGAAAAAAACCAATCAATACAAATTATTGAAGCCAGCAATCAAACGGGTGGCTGGATCCAGTCTTGGAAAGACGAAAACACCAATGTTATTAGTGAGCTTGGTCCGCGAACAATTAGAGGTCGCGGAAAATCAGCCAACAATACTTACAGCTTAATAAAAGATTTAGGTATTGAGGATCTAGTGCGCAATGTAGGTATTGATGCTTCTGCTAGATACATATTCGCAAATGGAAATATACATCAATTACCTATGAGTGTCTGGAAAGCTCTGTTCACAGTAAATCAACCATTCACTAAACCATGGATTTATTATGTCTTACGTGAGTGTTTGTCATTAAATAATAGCAAAGCTAAATTACCAGATGTTCAAAATGATGATGAAAGTGCTTACAACTTTTTTTGTCGTACATACGGACAAGAATTTGCTGACTACTTAATTTCACCTTTATTGTGTGGAGTATGTGGTGGAAATGCTAAGCAAATGAGTGTTAAGTTTATGTTTGGTGCCTTATATGAAGCAGAGCGTAAACATGGAACAGTTGGACTAGGGTTATTAAAAGAACAGATAAGTTCCATTTGGAATCGTGAGAAAGTAAAAGATACAAAGGGAACCAATATTGTTAAACCTCCGCCATCAGTTTATTATTTAGATGGAGGCCTACAACGTTTAATCCATGCTTTAGATATTGATAATGAGTCTCAAGGAATTCATACAAATCTAAACACTCAGTGTACAGAGATACATTTTCACGAAAACGGAAATGGTGCCAGAATTGAGCTTTCGAATGGCAAACAGTTGGAATGTTCACATGTTATTAGTGCATTACCTGCACATAAATTAGCTTCACTCTTTCATGTTAAATCTCAACATTCAACATTTATACAGCTATTAACATCTATACCCATGGTATCTATAGCAACAGTTAATTTAACATATGATGATCCTAAAGTGATGGGTCCTTACAAAGGTTTTGGAGTTCTTTCTTCGCCACTTGAAAAATTGTCTCTTTTGGGTATAATATTTAATAATTATATTTATGGACATAGCGATCGTGTTGATCTTACAGTCATGATGGGTGGGTATGGATTTGAAGAACATTTTGTCAAAAACTCTAAATGTTTGTCTGAAGAAAAACTTGCTGACACAGCTGTAGGTCATGTCAAACGTGTGCTTGATATTCAATCAAAACCTAATACATATAGCACACAAATATTAAATGATTGCATTCCACAATATACAGTTGGACATTATGAACGTGTAACAAAAATTCAAGAATATATTAATGTTAGGCGTTTACCGTTGACATTAGTTGGTTCTTCATATGCTGGAATTAGTGTTAATGATGTTATATTTGCGTCAATGACTGCAATGCGAAAATTATGTAAATAACAAATTGAAGATGTATTCTTAAATGATTCTAGAAATGTATTACTTGGAGATAATATTTTATTACTGTTTTTGTTTTAATTTACAGATAATTATTTATTTCATTTGAGACAGTTGTTAATTATTTTTTTCAGTATTAAATCTTAATCCTAATTTAGTTATTATGGTTATATAACTCATTAACTACTTAACAATACAATTTCAGGAAATCCATGACAGCAAATATTTTGTGATATAAATTAATTTATCATTATTTTAATAAATTGTTATCCAATAATTTGTTTATATTTTCTGGGTGTCTAACATTGGCCAAGGACTTATGTATATTTTTAAAAGATTAGCTTATGATACAGTCAGTGTTGGGTAGAAATGCAAATTACAAATTACTTAAAAGTAATTTCTATGGAATAACATGTTTTTTCCCCCTTATTAAAATGAGTTATGAATGTAGAATATATGACAAAACCTAGGGGCTATTATATTCGAGAATCAAAATTACAGAATTAAAAAGTGGGTAACGCTCTTCTGTACAATGAAATTAGGTTTCTAGAGGGTCATTGTAATGGATGTGTTAAATTTGAGTTCATTGACATAAAATCATTGTAGATAAAAATCAATTCTGAGTAAAGACTCAGCTTATAATATTACTCTAGGTCTCTAAGTATATTTTATGATATTAATGTGATTAAAGTATTTTTTTTTACTATTAATCATTAGAACACTAGGTCAAATAAATTTTTGCCAAAAACGTAACATTTGAAAATGTCATTGTGTATATTAGGTATAATAATATATTCTGAAAGTTTCAAGTACTCGCGAATAATATTTTTAAGTTATAACAAAATAACTAAAATTGTTATTGCTGGTTTTAATAAGAAATTCAACCAAATTTTGAACTTGATAAGTCTATAACAAATAATCATTTTAATATATTTTATTTATGAAAATCTTTGTTTAAAATTTACAATTTAAGCTATAAAAATTGAACATTTTAAAATTGTTTAACTACAAAATAACTTGAACATTAAAGCGATTTTGATAAATTTTATCAAAATTTGAACTTTGAATAATTTAAAAAAAAAATTGTGCCAATGGATCTGTTATATTTGTTAACTGCTATTATAATAACTAATAAAGAATCTTGTATTACGTTTACAAGCTATTTGACCCAACGACTAAAATTAAATTGGTATTTATTTTATAGAATAAAAAACTAAACAATTTTCAAATTTTATAAATAACCCAAAACGAATCAAATGATTTAAAAAATTTAATCATGTATACAAAAAGGTTAAAATAAACATTTGATGACAATTTCAATGAGGTGCCTATGGTCAATAGTTTTTGAATAAAAACAAAATGAGGAAATTTACTAGAATTTGATAATTTACGGGTGAATCCAATGTCTAGTATTAAATGCTATCAAATCTTAAATACATAATACAATGTTTATAAATTTATTCTAACTCGAATTACTTTGCCAATTTTCGTGATTTTGTTGAATTTTGTCAACATTTTAACTTCAGACGCTCATAAAAAATCGTTGTGGATTTACTCTCAATTTTTTTTTAATTTCCACTAACAAAATCTTACGAGAAACGTTGTTTTGTATTTTTAAAATTTTTGAACAAGTAAAAATGTTTACGTACCTACAATAATTTTTTAAAAAAACAATTAACTTGACATTTTGTTCTGCCTTTAAAAGTATAAATAGCTCAAAATAAATTGCAATATTTCAAAAATTGTATGATTCACATTCAGTAAAAATGTCATATATCTATATAGTTATTTATTTTTTTTAGTCATGAAAACAAAATCGATTTTTTCGAAAACTTGTCTTGCGTAATTCTCAGTTTTTCCTTAGTTTTTTGTAGGTTTATTCTGAGGCTTTTGAAAACTATAGGGAATTTTTTACTTTTGACTCCCCAAAGTATAATACCTAACAAGATTTAATTTCTTACCAGAAAAGAATAAAATAGATGCTGTTAATTGTTAAAGAAAGTCAAAGTATTTTTACTGTCCTAAAAGGTGAGTAAAGGTGCAAACCAACCACATCATTGTAAAAGGTGTACATTACTCTAAGAATTTAAATTAAATAACATTTGTTTACGATTAAGTCTACTTTTTGAACGAAAAAATAACGAAACGTGATAGGCGTCTGGTTTATACGAATGGAATTTTTACTCAAAACCAGTAGGTATTTGACAAAATTGATTTTGCTTTTTTGGTGTAACTCAAAAACAAATGACTTTAAATACTAGGTTTCCTCATAAGTTGTCCATAATCAGATTTAAAAAAATATTGAAAATACATTGTGAACAATTTCAAATTATTTTGTAATTAATTATTCATAAAAACTTTACTTTTCATATCGTAGATTTAAAAATTTAATACAAGGTATTCCTTCCTGGCTTCCTCATAAGTTTTTCTATCAGTAACAAAAAAAAAGTTAAGGGAAAAGTTATATTCATTTTTATAGATTCTATATAGAATAATTTATTAGCGTTTGAAATTGAAATTGCCAATTGGTATGAATTTGAATAGGTATTCATGCGCGTAAAATATCGATTTATCATATACCTATATACGATATACCCAACGATTTCCGTAGACTAACTTTCACCAAATGTGTATGTGATCAATTTCTTCCATGGTACTAATACAAGTAATTTTTAAAAAAATTTTTGAAACTCTTTTTAAGTTTTTATAGACAATTGCAATTTTCAAAATTGTTAAGTTTTTTCTTGTAAGGTTGTTAATGTCGATAAAAAATGTCAGTGTCAAAAACTTGAAAAAAGAATACAACGTTAATCATAAATTGTTATCATAACTATTTTAAGATATTAAGGTCTAAGGATGGTACATGTTGTCATAGAGGTAGGTATGCATGATTTTTTTTATAATCATTTCAATTTTCAATTTCGACAACATTTATGAATATCACGAAAATGTTTACAAATAACTGAGTAGGTAGGTAGTTAAAATTTTATGAAATGTTCAACTTTTAAAGCTTAGGATTAAAAGTAATGAATTTTTACAGAAATATTTCTATGTACCTATTGAATTTCTATATATTATTTTTTATTGAATTAATTGCATACATATTTAAGACAATTACATATAACATATATATTTGGTATATAGATATGTACCTATGTCATATTATGTAATAGGTATCACACCAGGTTAGGTTTTTTACTATGCGTCTATGCTTACCACTGAAACATTTATCATGTTTAAAAGCTAAAGTTTCTTTTGGTGAGCAATAATTATGAAAGAACAAACCCGTCTCGTCTATATTCAAAATATCATTTGGATCGAATTGTTCAATAGGTAAAATATTTTAATAATTTTAGGACAGTCCTCTTCCAGAATATCAGCACTCTTGTCAGTCATCAAGCATGACTTTTAAAACACAAACTGTTATGCCTTGATTTAAATTTATCTAACCATTCAGGAGTAGCTCAACAATCTTCAAACAAAAGTTTCTGAGCCAAATTAATTACTTTTTCTCTGATTAACTTCTCGATTTTTTTATAATATAATTTCGTATACCCACCTATAAAGTTACATATTAAGTCCATTTAAGAACGAGTTTTATCAACATCTTAATCAATCCACGTTTTCATTCTTCCATATTTCTGTGTTCCCCGAGGAGATTATTTGATCATACTTGCTTAATTTTTTTTTCATCAATTTTTTAATATGGCTGAAAAATAACTTTCCTAATTACCATGTCTTCCGGAAACACCTTCTTTTTTACACCTTTACCGATTTCAAAAATTTCAAATTCGTTGACAATCAATAAACATTTCACAATCTTTGCATTCAAAAACCAAGAAAACAGTCTAGCCTCTCTCCGAGTACTTATGTTTAACATATAAATCAAAAAATATAGGTAGTGAGGTAGCAAAAAAATACTTCGTTAAATTATTTAAATGGAACTTTATATAAAAATAATTTTTCTAACAATTTACAATTATTATTGATCTGAATTTGTAATAAGAACTAATGCCTAATAAATTATATAAATTTGGTTTTTTTCTGTTTACACCCATGTCAATATTTGAACTGCTGTAGTAAATTATAAACCAGCTTAATATTTTCTTCTTCATTCCTAACCTTATCTACATTAACATGTCATAACATTGTATTTTAGAAACATTAGTTATTTTTAATTAATTATTTAATATTCGATCCCTTATTACACAGTATAACATAGAATATAAATATGTTTGTTATCGAATGCTTTATATGGAGATAAGTTTACACATAATTATTAATTAACAATAAATGTTTTGGTTTCTAAAAACTAATTCGTTCAATGGATGTTTGTTTTGAAGAAGTTTCACTGTATAATTAGGCCGATTGGTATAAGTCGTATCACTCGTATAGCATAGGTATGTGTACTAGTGTACTAGCCACTAGGTAATAATAATAATTGGGCATATTAAAAAGTACTATAAAAAACCTATCCTTGTTTAACTGATTTTCTCAGAATCTAAAACAATAGTAACACATAAATATTATGTTAAGCTATTAATGTACTTTTTGTAAGTATTTCGGAATATTTTCGGTAATTTTTTGTAGATATACAATAGAACCTATAGTATACAGTGCCGCAACTAGGTTTTATAGGGCCCTGATGCTAAAAACTTTATGGGGCCCCTGTACTTGCATTATACAGTATAATGAAAAAAAGTCAGTGCACAGATAACCTTTGGCAGATCCCTAATACTAGACAAAATGTATGGCCCTAAATTTTTAAAACTTTTAAAGCTCTATACTGCTTGACAAGCAGTATAGTAATGTGGCTATATTAAGTTCATCATATTTTTAAACACATCTCCAACAATACATCAGTTATCAGTAGTCAAATAGTCAAATAATTAATAAAAAGTAATTCATTTATTAAACAATATTATATTCAAATTTAAATAACAAAAAATAAACAATCAATAGGTACTATTATAATTTATAGGTATTATACAAAGATTTTACTTTAAAAAGTTTTTTTTTCTTGACTTCAAATTAGCAAAGTCATTTATCAATTTTTCAATATCTAGTTCTTTTGTCCTTGATTTTTCTATGTTAAGTATACTTATGCCAGTTAATCTATCTTGCGAAATAGAATTCCGAAGATAATTTTTTAGGAGTTTTAATTTGGAAAATGACCTTTCGGCCGTAGCTACAGTAACTGGGAGACTTAAATATATAATACAAGCTGTGAGAATTTCACTGTAAAGAGATGAAAGATCATATTCAATTATAAAAGATGTCAATTCTTGAATAGTTTGAATTTTTGTATTTTTAATAAATTCTTTTAATGAAATTAGTTGTCTTATTAAATCTGATGTCACATCGTTATTGTAAAATGATATGAAATCATAACAAGATTTAACTATTTCTGACTCTTTCATAGTAACTATATTTTGTGGAAGTAAAAATTCAAAATTTCTTGAAACGGAATGAAGTCCTTTAAATCGATCACGTAACTGAAATAAAGCTGTATCAATGAGAGGATAAAAAATTGCTATACGAAATTTTTCTTCAGGCACATCTAATCGTTTATCTCCTTGAATTTCTCCACAGTATTGTTTTGAATATATTTTACGGGTTGTAGGTTTTGTTATAGATATACCCCATTTATGGCATAATCCAGTAGCTGATACAACAAGTTCATCATAACCATCTCTCATTTTTTCAATTGACAAAATTGTTCCTTGCAATAAATCACATGCCTTGTGAAGATTGGTTTGTGGTGATTGTAATACCTTTGATACAATTGATAAAGGTTTTAAAATATTTTCCCATATGGTCATTAACATAACAAATTCAAATGATTCCATTTTTTTTTTCAGTGATTTGGCTCTATTTTTTTCATCAGTTTTGTCACTTGTTAATAATATATTAGTTAACGATTTTAAAACATTTATAAAATTAAATTTTAGTGAATGCACCGCGTTGTGTCTTGCTTCCCATCGAGTGGCACACACTTTTTTTAATACTTTATTTCTTATTTGATCTGCGGTCTTCTCACCAAAAGCCAATGATGTCCATCTAGGTGCACTCTTGCTAAAGAACAGAAATATATCTTGTACAATATCAAAGAATAAAGCTACTTTTTGAGAGCTTTTAGCAATATCAGAAATAACCAAATTGAGGTTATGAGCTGTGCAATGAATGTAGGAAGCACTTGGTACAATATCTGAAATCCTTTTTTGGACACCAGTATATGCACCACTCATAACTGATGCCCCATCATACCCTTGACCTCTACATCTTTTTATGTCCAATTTACAATTGTTCAATATTTCATAAATTAAATTAACGTGATCTTCAGCACCATGCTTGATTAATGGATAAAATCCCAAAAAAGATTCCATTATTTTAAAAGATTTTTCTTCATAATCAACTATAACATATCTTATAATTAAACTAACCTGGTCTACTTTTGTGATATCTTGGGTTGAGTCCATTATTATAGTAAAGCATTGAGTATTTCGAATCTCGTCACAGATTATTTTTTTAACATTTGATGCCAAAAGTTCTATGAGCTCATTCTGTATTTTCCAACTAAGATATTTTATTTTCATCTCTTCATTGTAAAGTAACTTGTTCAATACAGGATCATATTCAGCAATAAGTTTAACGGTGCGTAGAAAATTTCCTTCTGAATCAGTATTTTTTTTCCCTTCATTTCCTCTTAATGCACAGTTTCCAGCAGTAAGACTTAGAATAATTTTTATTAATCTGGTCAAAACATCTTTCCAAAATTGAGCTTCAATCGATATTTGTTTTTCTACATTTTTTTCAATTGTTTCATTTTTAATCCAAAGTAATCGTATTTGAACAGCTTCTAAGTGTTGATGGGATTTTTCATGTTTCATTATTTTAGTACTCAAATTTTGCCAGTCACATATACCATGAATCCAGTTATACTTGAAATTTGCGTTTAATCTGTTGGCAAAGAGCCAACAAGTTTCACAGTATACCTTACTCATTATAACTGAAAAACATAACCATTGCCTTGGAATTTTCATTCCAGTTATAGTAGTCAAGTGATAATAATCAATTGAAAAAGAACGACCAGAATTTTTCAAACTGACATTTTTCAAAAGATATTTGTTTGTTGGCTTACATGGACCATATGCGATGATTTGTTTCTTTAAGTTAGAATCAGTAATGTTGTCAGAGAATTTACCTCTATCAGTAGGGTATTCTGAATTCAAATCAAGTGTAGTATTTGCCACTAAAAAAACAAAAACAATTGATTAAAATAAACAATAATAAATAAGTTTAATAAAACAAGTCAGTAAAATAAAAATAAATAGGTAACACAATAATAATAAAATCAATTATTAAGTACCATTTATTGCAGATGATTCAGTGTCCAATATAATATCTGATTCAACCCCATGTCCTAGATGGTTATTTTCATCTAAAATAAATTTTAAAAATATTAAGGATTATTTACTGTTATTTGCTTAAATTGTTATATTATAACCAACAATGTTAAGTTAAAAAATGTAAAACTTTTTTGGAAGAAAAAAGAATACACAATAATAATAAAATCAATTAATTATTAAGTACCATTTATTGCAGGTGATTCAGTGTCCAATATAATATCTGATTCAACCCCATGTTCTAGATGGTCATTTTCATCTAGAATACATTTTAAAAACCTTATGGATTATTTACTGTTATTTACTTAAATTGTTATATAAATCAATGTAACATATTATAAATGCTTAGTTAAAAAATGTAAGACTATTGAAAATAAATGTTTGAAAAACATATACCAACTATTCATTATATTTTTTTATAAATTAACATAACATAAAATATAAAAACACAGTATTTTACAATATTTGAGTATTGGTAATGCAATATTTTTTTAATAAGGAGTTATAATATGAATATAGTTAGAAATGCTGCTAGTAGCTACTAAAATTACAATATTCGCAGTAATTTATTGTATTGGTTTACTATATTATATCTAGTTATGTGTATGCTTTGCAATTTGTAATATAATAAAAATAATTAAACTAAAAAAATGAAATATTTCTAATAAAACTTACTTTGTTCAAGTTGATCCGGTTTAAAATAATTTTTAATTTTTTTATTACTTTTTAAAATAATTTCTTTTTGCTCTTTATTTTTCTTCCTTTTAGCCGCACCACTAAGGACTTTTGGTTTCATCATTCTTCACAGAAGTTTAAATAAAACAATAACGATTAACAATAAACTTGACTCAGTTACAAAAGTTAAAAATTAAGTATAACACACAAAAATGATCAAATTCAACGAGTATCACCGCAATATTATCATTAAAGTATTACTAGATTTCTTTATTCCATCGTGCTGAGGTGCTCAATGCTCATGAAGTATTCGAGAATTTATGTAATAATAATAATCATAAAGATAAACGATTAACGAATTACAATTTTAGTAGGCATTAAGTATACCTACTGATTACTGATATTATATCATAATAAATGTGTTGTGTGTCCATGGCCCGAGCGTTTGTTTGTGTGTGTCTATGTTGAGAGTTATAAATAAACCTATTTTTAATTTTCAAATGTGAATTACCATCGTACATGTAAACAAAGATTATCAGTTATCAGTGGTCACAAAATTATCGGATATTTATTCAACATTTGGCGGTTGATTGTGACATTAATCTATTATAGAAATATAGAATGTACATTTTCCATTTTTTTTTTTTTAAATAATAACTTGCTTAATTTTTCGCTTTGATGATGGGCCCCTCACCATAACATAAAACCTGGCCAGGGAATGCATTGCATACCTTGCCTCCCCTATTGTTGCGGCACTGATAGTATAGTATACCGATGTAGACGAATGTGTGTTAAAATCATTTGAATAAGTGGGTATGTACCTATTCGGGATGTGCTCGTAGTTATATGTTAAAACAAATTATTATCATAATACGATGTTGAAAGAGTGGCTATATATGACGTAAGCGTCAAAGGTGTAAAAATTGCATATATTATTGCTCCAAAATTAGTAGGACCAATATAAAATTATATCAACTTACCCAATATTGTCAAAAGCGCCAATGATACAAAAAAATTGATACAATTTTTACCAACATTCTAAATAATAATTGATATAAATCATTATGGTTGATTTTTTTAATTATTATAATTAATATTTGAAAACATTAATTATCAATATAAAGTTAAATTATAATCATGATGATAAAATAATATGTAGGTAAAAATCTAATAGAACTAAAAAGAAATTACCATAGTAATATTTTTATAGTAAAATTGTCTACTTAAACGGGTCGATTTGTTAGTCCTATATTTTCTGCTTATTTCTTCCATTGTACAATTATTCTCACATGAGATGTCCTTAATTTCAAATTTGAAGAAGAAGAATTCATAAATAAATAAGTATTCACTTTGTAATTTTAGCAAGACACCAATAATTACTAAATTAATATGAAGTATGATTGTATGAACTGAGCAATGGCCAATGAACAACATCAAATTATAATATTCATTATTAGGAATTTCACCTCGAAGGATAGCCTGCAGGATAAGTACTATACAATCTAGAACCAATGTGTATTTCTAAAATGTAACCACTAGCCATTTCTCTTAAATATCTATATTTTTGTTTAAAATGTCTTTATTTGTAATTGATTTTGAAAAATTAATTTTTGGTATACCTTACGCAAAATGCGAAAGCTCATTAAGTCCATACAAAAAATATAATGAAGTTATAAGTTATTACTGACACTCTATCATAATCAGATAATACATTTGACAGGTAAGTATCTGGGATTTTGCACACTACGATTTACTTTTTGATTATCTTGTTTTAGTGCTTATAACTTTTGTTAAAAAATCTACGATAGATGTACCTATACTATATTACAAATTATTATAATTTATTACACGCAGTGCCTGATTTGAAGGGGGCGTGAGGGGACGGAGTCAATCTTCTGTTTAGAAAATATTCATGCTTACCCCTTCTATTTATATCCTTATCAATAAAACATTTAAATATGCAGGGACTCACATTTTTTTACACTTTTGCGCCCCCCCCCCCCCCCCCGCTAATTTTCTCTCAATTTAAGCTCTTATTAAATGGATATAATTAGTATTATTTAGCCAGTTATGATCAACATTGCATATCAATTATAATATAATTCATTTAATATGATTTTAGATTAGCATGGAATAAATCTCAAAATGAATTTATATTATATCTGAATTGCGTTTAAAATTAACATGATTTTCCTATTTTAAAGCATTTTAACTGGTAATTTAGTTGGAATGGGCAATTAGCCCATAATAAATTCCATTAATAGAAATTGTATATAAAATTATACTTGTAATTATTTTTTCTTTTAATTAACAAGTTTTACTAAATTATATTGAGTATATACCTATTTACTACTTATGACAATATGGCATAAATAAAAATTATAGGTACTGTCTATGTTTTGTCTTTTTCATGTATAATTATCGTAATTTCAAAAGGCTAATTTTAATTATATTATTTGGTAGGGACCAGCTTGTTACAAAGCGAGGAAATATAGTATTTTTTATATTAAATTACTGTTATATCATCAATAAATTATACCCAGTTGATAAGTTGATAAAGATGTTTCATTAATTTTTATTCCAAAATAAATACGATTTAGATTTTAATGTAATTTGGTTAACAGAAATTTTAATTCTAGTCTCTAGGTGCCTATATATATGTGTGTTTTAATATTTAATACATAATATAAAATTAAATTTTAGGTTGATGTTTTATTATTTTGTCTTAAAATAATTCATTATTTAATGCGGTCAGCAGAATGCAGATACAAAATTTAATTTTAATAATGGGTAGGTATTAGCATTGATTGGTTTTTCTAGAATTAGTAGAATTTTAATTTATACTAATGAACATGTGAATAAAATGTGATATTTATTTAATCGTTGTATACCTAGGTACCTACTTACCTTGTTTTTATTATGTGAATACTGACAAAAAGTGCACAGTTTTTAAAAATATACTTTTCTAGAATATAAATTTATTTAGTTATTTGTATAATTGTGGTTACCAGATGGCATTCTGTATTTTCTATTAAAAAAACATGGGTAATTATCGGTGTATAACAAATGCCTAAAGTAATGCATTGGGTATGTCAATATATGAACTATTATTCTAATATATTAAAAAAAAAAAAAAAACAATGAAAAAATAAGAACGTGCACATATTTTTTGGAACATTTATTTTCATGCAATTATCTTCATGTATGAGGAACACATATAAAAGTATGTGTTGTTGATGAAACGAAAATATTGTGTCAAGAGTTTTTGTTTTAGTGAGTAAACATATAATATATTTCAAACGTTCACCTGACTTGTCAAAATGAAATTTAACACATCAATTTTTATATGTTTATTTTTTTCTGCTATAATTGCCATTAAGGTAAATATTAATACGTTGACATTGTTTATATAAAAATATAGATTTAAATATAATACGTCTAGTAGGTATATATTGTACCTACAGTGCATTATCTACATATAATATTTTATTCGTCTGTAAGTAATATGGACCATTAAAATTAAAATAGGCACTTTAAATATAAAGATGCCTATAGGTTCAAGTAGGCTGAGAGTAATATACCATATTATACTAGGTACTTACTACTTAATGTACCTACGTTATCCGTTTATATTAATTTGACATAAAATTATATCATAGGTGCCTAATTTATTTATACATACAAAAAAAAATGTTTTTAGATTTTAGAATATTTAGGTTAATTTTATAATACATAATGATATCTGTACATTTTACATAGGTTAATTACGTATAATCTATATAGGTAAATCGTATATACCTATCGTAAACGTTACTGTGAATGTTCGCAGTTGGTAAATGCAGACAGTCACTGATAAATGTCATTGTACATCAAAATCAATAATGAATGTTGCAGTGCTATATACCTATAGGCGCAACTAGACCTCTAAAATTTGGATAAGAAGTAACAACCCAAGTAAAACCCCATACCTCTTATTACTAAAAATATCATAATCTTACAAGTTACAAATCTACAATAACCAATAATTGAAAACTTTTAACCACGCTTTCAACTTTGTATACACATTTTAACACGCTTCTTATTAGGTAATGATAACAACAAAATAAAAACAATAGGTACTCTCTTTATTAATTTATTAAGATTTAACCGATACCTAAAACATTAATATAAAATTTATAGGGGGCTATAAATAATAAACAGTCACCACGGCTTAAATCTATTTAGTGCTTTTTGATGTGACCTATTGCCTAAAAATAGTTTGTAACTCTTAAGCAATCATTTATTCGTAATGTGTATCTTAATGTTAACCGTCTATCAATTATAGGATGTGTAATAATTTTTAACGAATTAATATTATAACTTTAACTCATAATTATGATCAAAGTACCTAGTTTTAATATTTTTTCAGTAAGTATTTCATAATTTAAAAACATAAAATTGATGGTATTTCAATATAGTAATAACAGTTAAACCTCAAAAACCAAGGGGTGCTGAATAAGAACTTATTAAAGTTGTGAAGACCATTTTGCAATCCCTTGTTGGGTCAATGGTGTATTGATTACACTTTTACTGTTTGTAAGAATTCACATATCACTACCTAGTGATGTCGTCATGACGTCATATACTCATGTCGACATTTATATGTTCAGAATTTCTTTTCTTCAAACGTGCTTTCAGGGATAATGGGAAAGTCACAATAATAATAAGTGGTGGCCGGTGGACAAGGGTATAGACGATGCAAATATACAAAAACAAAATAAAGTGCACCACAAAAGTGCAAGAGTAGAACTGAATTTCTGTCAGTGTCAGTGCCATGTTTGTTTTTTATTACATTATTTTCCCCATTTTTTTTTTTAAATAATTGTTTTTATTAAATAAAATAAAGTAAGAATAAAAATAAATCCAACAATAATAGTTGAATGATTAAATTAAACATATTTTAGGAACATATTTTACGTATTATTATTTATAGTCTCTATTATATTATGTGCCTATAAAGTATAAGTATATGTCAACATTAGCTAAAACTGTATTGTGTATTAATGTATGCCAACATTGACCAAAATCATCATATAAATTCACTAATACCTACCTACAAGAACACAATTTTTAATTTGTCAACATTTGATAATTTGAAATGTACCTAATCTACATAATATAGTGTGCGTAGAATGTGTAGTAAACATTCACTGGATGACTGTTAGCATTTACCGACATTCACGGTAACGTATGTAAAAATATTTAGATATAAATAAATCACAAAATACTTAGAAATTCAAAATTGGTCATCAAATGTTGGACTTTTGAATAAACACCTACTAAATATATTTTATAGTACTATCAAAGTTAGGTACCTTCCTAATTTATAAATTAATTAAAAGTTTACTAAAAAGTAAACGAGGACAATTTTTTGTTTTATTCATCACTTTACAATGTGGTCCTCTTTTTATAGTGATTTAATAAAAAATGAGTTATTAATGATAATTTAAAATACTATTGATGATTCTAATTTTTTGGCTGTAGTATTTTTTATTAAATTTTTATATTATAGCTGTGTTTTTTTATAAACAAAATAAACAACGCGTAGTATTATTTAAGTTTTACTGCACATTTAAGTATATAAGTATTATGTTTAAAGTTGCAATATATTATAAATGTATAATTTTACTTAGGTAGGTATATAACTATATAAGTATATTGGTTAAAAGTAATATCCTTCAATTTAGTGTACCACAGTATCTATATCGATACCTATGACTACAATACTGCATATATATAGCTATATACTTACTCCAGTAATTGTCCCGTAAAACTGAAGATGATAAAGTTCTGTATACCAGCGGTTCCCAAACTTTTACGACCACGGCACCCTTAAAAAATTGTGTGTGTTTCGCGGAACCCTAATGTCTATTCCAACTCAACTACAATTTTTCTAAATAAAAAAAGGAAAATCAATTCTCTAAACTCTCAAGTCTAAATAATATTTTAATGATACTGTTAATGACTTTTCATTATTAAACTTAGTTTAAAAAAAAATTTTCAATCAAAAATATTTTTAATAACAAACATTAAATAAACATAATTTTCTCAATATGCATCTGGAGGAACCCTTGACATAGTCCCGCGGAACACACTTTGGGAAACGCTGCTGTATACTATACTTTATTATGTTTATTTGTGTCTTTAAGATATTATAATTTATTAAGTAGGTAGATTAGGTAATGAGGAGTCATCGAGAACGGTAAAGCGGGAGTCACCTCCACACTTTTTTAAAATTGTCTTAGCCTCTATATACACAGGCGTAATGTGGGGTAAATTCTTGAGGGGGGGGGGGGTCTGAGGTTAAACTATAAATCTGTAAGGTAAAAAACACTATTACCCATTCGGTTAAATATATGAAGGGACAGGGTCTCCTTTGACACTCCCCCCCCTCAGATTACGACTATGATATTATAATGAATTTTCCTGTAACTAAACTGTTTCTGATTACATCAATATTATATTTTATTATTCTATGTGGTTAAAATTGAAAATAACTTGTTAAGAGGGTGGTAATCGTATACCCGTATTAAAAATAACAGAGTAAAAGGATTATTATGAACCTGCAATTTGCTAAATTATGCGTTAGTTAGACTGAGAAAACATAAATTACGACGTCATCCTACATAGGTTTCCACCCAATCCCCCCCCAGCCAAAATAATTCTATCTTTAAGGATTATCCTATCTTTATAGGTATATATAAGTCTAATGAAAATTCCTATACACAAGTATAATGTATAAGCTGCTGTACCTATTAGAATCCTATGATTAACGCTGTAAAATTAAGTGGACAAAAGCCGAAACCTACCAAACCAACATAGGTGAAACTTGTGTTTAAAATTTTGGGTAGGGGAGGATTGTAGCTCAGGTCTATACTGGATACTCTTAAGATGCTTTTACATTATGACAAAACCCCTAAAAAATGTCCCATATATTATGATCTACTATGGTAATGAGTAATGACACAGTTCATTATGGAGGTTAAATTAATTTTAGTCTTTAGACAAAAAAAAATACATTTAAAAAGTCATGTGTATAAAATATAATATTATACTCTAAAAGTTTCAAATAAGTAATAACAAATAATACTTTTAAATGACAACAAAATAAGTTAAAACAGTGTAATTTCCTCCAAATTTGTACATTAAATACCTATAAAATAAAACTGTGTTTACCTATATAGTTTTAATATTTTTGGATACAAAATAACCAACTTGTGTGCAACTTTATTTAAAAATAGTGAGTATTTAATACTTAATACTTTTTCGAGTAATAGTGTATAGGATTGTATGAATTGTGACAATCTCGTCCATGTATATTTGATATCGGTATCTTATCAACAAATGGACGTAATAAATGTAGTACATACTATAATATAATATAACAAATGTCAAATAATATAATCTATTTGCAGGTATTAATTTTAGCAAGTCGTTTACTTTCGTAACTAATACTGAACTTGCGTTTTTTTCTAACGGTGATTACAGGTCTACATTATACAAAAAATAAAATGTATAGAAAGTTAAAGGGGCGAACGTCTGGTTCTTTATAATAATTTTAAGTACAATTTTAGATCAACTAATAAAAAAGACAATTCTAATCGTTGGATATGTGTAATACAAGAATGGCGTCAGTCGCAATTATTAATAAACTTTACTGTGAAGAGAACAGCGGATTTGTGCATATGATCGTGACAGCATACCAAGTTGCTTATAAACTTATGTTGAATTGTTGAAAAAAATGCAGAGTCAAAGTATCAAAAAACATCTTGAGACACCCGAGTAACGAAACTTATGCATTATTTATGGCTAAACTCGAGTCAAAAGAAGTATGTAATAAAGACCCAAAACGAGAAAACAGCTTGTGTAGATGGTATATTCAACGAACCAAATCAAAAATTTTGGGCTCTTGATGGTGATATGGATCACAGCACTATTTAATAACAGCTTCAAGTAACGGGAAATACCTAAAAAATGGACTGAAGCACAGGTTACAACGTTGCTGAAACTAGGCAAAGATCCGGCAGAGGCAAATAGTTACCGGCCAATTTCACTTTTAGCTACCTGTACAAACTTTTTGAGAGACTTGTCATGAACAGAATGACAAATCTCATCGAGAACAGGTTTATCCATAAACAAGCTAGTTTTAGAGCAATTATCGTGCACTAGTTAAATTCTGAATATCACGCAGTTTATCGAGGTTGGGTTTGAAAAGTGGAAATAACTTTAGCAGTTTTCATTGATCTCACGGCCAAATATGATGCGTTGAACCATGTGATACTTAGAAACAAAATCTATGAGATGAAGAAAGGATATGGCATAATAGAAATAAAGAATTATGGACCGCAGGGAATTGACGAATCATATAAAATGATGAAGTAGAGAAAATATCAAATTTTGGCTTGAATAAAGAATCTAAGTGGTTCTCGACCACACGATAGAAGAAGAAGGAGAAGAAGACTATAAAAATGTTCAAAATCGTACACTGATATGAATGATTCATAAACTTCAGCAGTCGGAGAACATAATCATAATGCATATACAAATTGAATATCAATCACCGAATAGTAAATATAGCTTGTAAACAAAAACTTTAGAGGGTCTCTATGCAAGATCAAAAAATAACATTTAAAGAAATCGCTCAAAACGACGTATCGTCATACTTAAAGGTAGTTGATATAAAAAGGTTAAGGAATAATATGTATAAATCTCCAACAAAATGTATTCCTCCTAATAGTTAACTAGTTAACCTATTAGCTATAACATAATATCAAACATAAATCATTTTCAGATAGTGCTTTCTAAAATGTTGAACGTAAAACCGTGAGCGAAAACAATGCAATTATTTTTAGGCAAAAATAGGAAACTATTTCATCATATTTAGTCGAAAAAAAGAATGTAATTTTCGGGCAAATGGATTAAAACCATGAAATACATCCTCAGTTCATGCATTAATATCGTGATATAAGTTACTTTAGTATGATGTATCGTGCATTCGATAACTACCTTCATCTTTCTACACATGCCTGTGTACTGTTAAAAAAAAAAATTAGCATCTATAAGTCCCGCTGCATATTTTATGTTGTATGTAGGTATTAAGATTTTAAGAGCTTATAAGAAAGTACCTGCCCATATAGGTAAAAATGTAGAATTTCTAGGTTTTTAAGTTTAATTATTAAATCATGTTTAGATATTAAATTAGACCATCATACAGTCTGGACTCTGTATTACTAAAATGTAAATGTCATTCCCAGGGTAAACAGTAAGTTGAATTTACGCCATAACAAATGCTTAATACATATATATAATATTCAATTATATAGCTTCACTCATGTAAACTGGTGCAGTATATCGTACCTAATCGTACACTGCTAATGGTCATGTGAATGTATGTAATGTACGTAATCAGTACCTAATTAATAATCCCGTTTATGAATTATAGGCAAATGATATTGAAGATGTCGAAAATTCGATCGAGTATGGCAACACCGATACTCAACCTGAGGTTGAGGAAAATGAACAGGGGGTCGAAGAAGGGACGAACAACCAGCCGCAAGAAATCCAAGAGGCCGCTTTTGAGTTCAAACCTAGCAAACGGCTGCAAGAGATGGAGAATAACATGTCGAATAGCTCTAAAGCATTTGTCGGGGATGGGAAGGTGAAGAAGACCCTGACTGACACATACAAAACAACGATGGCCACAGATGTGGCCAAAGCCGGATTTGATAACGCAAATCACCAGTGGCTGCTGATGCTCGAGGGCCCGGAAGCATCTCGGGTGTTCGGCACATTCGGCAAGAACTTCAACACTATTGTCACGTCCACCGGCGGCGTGGACATGATCAACATGCTGGCCACCACCGTGCACGTGCTGTTAGCCAAGGCCGGTGAGGAGAAGATGAGCTCAAAGCTCAGCGACATCATGTCGATGACGTACTCACTGTTCACGTCTCCCAATATGCCTGAGATTGTTAACAAGACCGGTGGGCTGGTAATCACTGCAGTGAACAAACCCGGTGCTGCGTTGTTCACCAAAACGTACTGGACTGAGGTTAAGAAACTCTTGACCGAGAAGAATCTCAATCAAAAACTGAAGAAGTATTTCGCCAACTTAATGTCCATGATGAAATCTTTAAGGGGAATGATGCATGTCCCCAAACAATTGAAACGTAGACGCACTATCGCGTAGTAATAATATTATATACATCATTCACATGTACAATTATAATAGGTACATATATACATTTACAAACGGTATACTTAACTACATAATATATAATTTATATAATAGTGTGGCATCGTACTTTAACACATAACACCACCACGACCTAATACACGGCATGTCACCCCGTTTGTACTTTGTTATAATAATACAATTACTATTATAATTATTACTACTACTATTATTATATTATAATATATGAAAATATATAATATAAGGTATTATATAATAAATATTTATGTGATATTTTTACGACAGTGGTATCGTTGTATCAAAAGTATACAATATTATACAGTCATATGCAGTTAATATAAATAGCTATATTAAACGCACGTCTCCAAAGGAGTTATGTAAGGTTTTTAACTATTGGTGCCAAAATGCATGGTAGTCATCACCATAGGCGTAAATGTGAATACAAATTGAGGGGGTTAGAAGTATAAACTCACATAATATATTATACTTACTAAGTTAAGTTAGGAAATATTTGAGGGGCCAAGCCCACCTAAGCCCTACCAATTTACGCCTATGATCATAAACAGGCCATATATTATATCTATTATCTACTTATATTTTTCTTATTTTTCATTAACTAATTACATTTAACAAAATAAAAGCAATTTCATAACAAATCGTATATTTATAAAATGAAACGATAATTATCACTTATCAGAAACAAAGTTAAACAGAATTAAAATTAATAATAATTTTTTTAGGACCGTAACGGGGGTAACAAAAGTAAAGTCATTTATTAGGTATCAGGTATTGGAAACCGACCTCTGGTGAACTAAATTTACAAATGTTGAGTGCAAAGAGCAAAGTGTTTCACTCCATCTGACAAATTTATCAAGATCACTCTGGAGAAGTGTACAATATCCTAAGAATTATAATATCTTGTCATCTGCATAAAACAGTAATTGATAAAGCACAGATTTTGCACTATTGACAAAATATAAAAGAGCAAAGGAGAGAAATGACCTAGCTCTTTGGGGGACACCAGAAGTAGCAATAAAGGGACCCGACTTCATACCAAAAAGCTTCACTCATTGAGGCCTTTGCGTTAAAAAAGATTCAAAACACGTTAGAAGGAGTTCACCAAATTCAGAAAGTCAAAAAACCAAATCGAAAAGCATGCGGAGAACAACTTGGTGGATAACAGAATCAAATCTTTTGGCAAAACCTGTATATATTATTAAATCAACTGGAGTACCGACATCAAAAGCACTGAATATATAATTACAGAAGGTAACATTGCATATAACAGTCGACCGACCCGAACAAAAGGATGTTGCTCATCAATGAGTATAGAATTATTTACCGACGGCTATTACCGTCTACCGACAAAGCATTGCAAAAGGTCTATAATTTTCTTCAACATAAGACGGAGCTAACTAGAAAGAAGATATACACTCCTCCCCGACACAGGATAGGAGAACACCAGGTCTCACTGATCAAAAACCTCAGATACCTTGAAGTTAATTTTGACACTCGACTTTCCTTCCGGAAACATGTCAACCACGAGAAGGCTTACACTGTAGCCACAACCATGGTCATGCTGATGCCAAACATCAACAGTTTAGGCTAGTGGAAGAGAAAACTTCTCAGCTCGGTAGTTGAGAGTCGGTTCTTGTACAATCTGAGCCCCAACTATCAACGACTCGGCCAAAGCCAAGTTGAACCTCTAGAGACCTCGGGGGTCTACAGTCCTAATGGCCATCAGGCCCTTTGTATGGCTGATGCTGTGGAGCCCTAGAATGGCTTGAAAGTCTGGGCAGTCTTCTTAAGGTCGCCCACTTTCCTGATATTCTCTATGAACCAGTCGGTAGTCCTCGAAAAGCTACAGACCAATCACCTCAAGATGACAAAATTTCCGTATCTGCTTTAAGTATTTTACATCTTTGAAAAGGAAGCTTCCTTCGCTGATGTAACTTACCGATGAACGGGTGTCTACGTATACACACATGTTTTTCTACAATAAAGATGCCGCAATGTACAAACAGTTCAGCCCCCATGTAGAGGCACCACTTTAAAAAAAAAGGTCTATAATTGTCTACCTCAAAAGAGTTGTTAGATTTGGGAATAGTAGTTATGAAAAATAAAAATAAAACAAAATTTTAATTTAAATCTATAGTAGGAACTGGGAAATATATTAAGTACCTCTACTTAGTTAAATATTGAATGGAAAATTTTATAAAAATATTGCTTCCATTATATAAATTAAATAATAGTTATCTATCTTATGTATATCTTCTCTACATCGTGATCGGAAATTAAATATTGATAATCACTAATTATGTATTAAATGAGTGTAACCATTTAGTGATGGTTTTATGAAATATACCAAAAACCACAATATTAAAAAATAAAAATAATACTTTTCAATATTTCATACTCATAAAGTCATAACCTCAGGGGTTAGTGAACATATCTTCCAGATATCAAGAAATATTCTTCAGCCTAGAGATAAATGAGAAAGAACCAAAAGTGGTAAAGAAATAACATCTGTTGTTGAAGAAAAAGTCACCTACAGATTATCATTGAATATAGACGAAACATTGCGGAAGAAGGTTAGCTTACGGAACACATCACGCTAGGTGAAGCTACAATTGTACAGAAGATAAAAACACGAAACGTATAGGTTAAAAGATTCGACATCAATTGAAGATTTAAAGTATACTGAGCTGAAGTGCGAAGAAAATAAATTGACAGACCCCTGCTTTTTAAAGACACGATTTACAGACAGGGATTTAGAAGCAGCATCGGCAGGAGCGATTATTACAAATGAAATCCCAAAATTTGGTCGGTTCTATAATAAGATAATTTTTTGTATGCTTTACAAAAGCTTTAAAACATGCTTAGATACAAATTTATATTTAGCATGAATAAAGGAGAAAGCTTTGTAATCAATAGGGTCGAATGAATATTTTAACAAGGTGTATGGAATATATTTTTATAATGTATTGGATTTATTAGTTTTTTGAGTTGTATAAACGAGCAGGCGCTCCAAAGAGCGAGACACCTTGCAACAATCACACTAACGCAATTACGAAGTCTTGACAGTGGATATTTATTGTTGGTATAACAGTAAAGAGGAATTAGGAAGAATATATACACCACTTATTAGAAATTTTAGAGAACCAATGGTGATTTGTAAGAAAACATGTTCAACATTAGAAATGGGTATACTAATTATTATCCTAGATGAAAGATTTTTCTTTGGGGAAACGACTAACGAGGAGTGAGGACACTTCCCTCCACCTCTTAAAGGTGTAAACAAGTAAGAGTAAGACTACTAATAATATTATTCTAGTGAATCTCTGAGATTTCAGAAAAAATAAATGCGGATTCTATCTATCTGCCCCCCCCCCCCCAATATCCACGGGTGTGAGAGCTTTCTAGACTCTCAAACTCGACTTTCAAGCATAACCCCCTTCAAAATAAGACTGCCAAAGAGCCAATGCTTATCACAAATCCATATCACCAAACCACCTCCAACCTGCAAAATCACCTCCTCTCATTTTTGAGTTTTGACCGATGAAGTCATACAGGTGTGACTTTTATAATTTTAACGACCCTGACTCCACTTTCAGTACCCACTCTCGGCGAGACTCGTGAGCCTCAAGAGTTGCACTAGCAATAGTATTATAAAAAAGTATACTCAGCGCCAGCATCAAGGTTTTAGAGTTTTATGTTATGTTACCTTTTTATAATAATTTAAATTTCTTAATTTAATTTTTTTGGTGACCAGTAGGCAATTACCATTAACTATAGGTAATATGATTTAAATTCTGAGAGTAGCTATGAATGTATTGATTGACACTAAAGTAACCGAGGATACATGAAATTTTTACCTAGTAGTTTTATATTAGCATTTTTCCATACACCGCACAATTTTCAAAATATTTTGACTATTTTTGTGTTATTTATATACCTAAGAATTGGAAAATGTCGACGTTTATTAATTTTTTTTAATCATTGTAGATAAAAATATTTTAGTCTGTCAAAAAGCTTGAAAATTTAATCTAAGGTTGTTCATAAATTGTTGTTAATGGAAACTATAGAAAAAGTTTACCGTTATTACGCAATCATTTTTTATGAGCATCCATCTAATCTATTTATAAAGGTGGATTTTGTTTTTGATTTAGTAATGAGTATTGTGAAAAAAATTGATTGAAGAAATCATTATTTGTTGTGAAATACTGTTTGTTGATTATGAACCTACCTACTTTTACTTTGTCATATTTAAAGGATCCTAATCATGAATGCAACCTTTAGTCTCATGTTTATAAACAGTTTTAATTAACGACTCCGATCAGCTTTGCAAAGTGCAAAAGGTCATTCTGCAATGGAGAAGATTAAGTCTTTGAACATTTATGGATAAAACTTTTTACTTCACTTAACTATGTTAATTATGCCGATACCATAAATAGGGAAGTGCTATTATTAGTTATTGCAGGAAGGAAAGAGGATAAATTGATACTCTAGTTCAGCGGTTCTCGATATGGCGCCATAAAAAAAAAATATAATTATTAATTTTTATTGTCGTAGCAGTCACGTAAATGCAACAAACGTCGAGCCACATAATATTTTATATAGATAATTCCTTATTAGTACTTGTAATTTGTCAATTTAAAGTGTCAATATTTATTGAACCCTGAAACTCAAATACAGTCTGTACCCTATAGGTACTTTAACTTCCAAGAAACAGCACAAGCTAAAGAAAAAATAGATAAATACTAAATAGGTAAGTTGCATTACAATTATGACAATAATGAAATGTTACCTAGATGTATTTTTAAACATGCATTCTATTTCGGCCCACAAAAATATGTCAATTGTCTTTTTTCTTTTTTGGTAAAAAAAAAAACAAACAAACTAAATTTTACAACACAATAAAATAATGTAATTAATTTAAGAGTACATGCACACTGCATAGTATAGATAGATAATGAATATAAGATATAGAAGTTATTACACTCAAAGATAGGTAGATAATAGATATAAGTATATAGTTTACAAATAAAAGTTTCATAATAGTATAATTAGGTATTATGTAATATTACAGATCTAATAATAATTGTTTTAAATAATATTTTACAGGTGTATTTAGATATAAAGATTATAATAATATATATACTTATGTCTTATTCAATAATACAATCAAACATATCAGTGCCCAACCATTAATGATGAAAATGATAAAATAACTTGTGAAACAAAATGTACTTTTGATGGAAGTAAATATTATACTTAAAATAATATTAAATTACATTAATTGTTAACAGTTGAACACAACAACAATTTAAATAGAACTGAATACTATATATTTAATCTTTAATGCAATGAACTTATTCATAATTTACGAAATTATAATTTATTAATACCTATCACCAATAGAAAATTGTGTATGTGATGGTTATATATTCAAGACTTATACTGTGATGTTATCATAGTAGGTTTGAGTGTACAAAAAGTTTCTTAGAAAAACAAAAGGTTCTACCACATGTATCAACAACTTTATTTTCCTAACAGAACTAATAAACAAATGTATCAAAATTCCTTCATTTGTAACTTTAAGTGGTTTTTGTAAAATTTAATTGACAAAGCGTATAAGTAGGTGTATTCGGGTTTTTTTATGACTTGACTATTGTGTAAGACGTGAATAAATATTTTTAAATATATTATTATTATAAGTTGTTAATAATGATTAAAATATACATAAGAATTATAAAATAGATACTAACAAATATAAAAGTTTTTAATAAAGATTTTAATGTGTAACAATGTAACAAAGCAACTTTGGTGCAGGAGACTTCTACTATTAATTAATATAAATAATACGAGGGAAAAATATTTTTATAATATTTAACTTTAATCCTACACTAAAATTTTGAAATTAGAGCGTAAAAAGCACACAGCACTCTATATATATAATTAAAAAAAAGTAACAGTATAAATAATTGAAGAAATAACACAGGTTATTGAAATATGTATAACCTATTGTCTATTTGAATTAATAGATATTAAAATCATATAGATGAAGATATGTTTATCAATATATTTTATAAAGGAATGTATAGTTATATCCAATATATATCCTTAAAAGTTATAACGACCAGTTTTCATCAAATATAAGAAATTTTTTAATAATTTATCTTCTAGACGAAATAGTTAAAGAGAAAAGTCGTTAAAATTAATAATTTAACTTAATGGAATTTAGTTGATAGGTACAACAAAACAAAATAAAATAAATAAATAAATTTAGTCTAGTTTATTATCACTTTTATTATTAAGAAAAATTACACTAACAGTTTTAAATCTAATTAAATATTATTTATACAAAATAACAACGTTTTTAACCATATCATAACTGTGTTATAACAATCGCGCACACCAATAACCCAAAAATCAATAATTATTGAACTAAGAATTAGTTTTAATAACAATGCACATTAAGCACAATGTGGTAATATTTTGAGCTATAACAAAAGTATAAAATAAGTATTGCACTTTTCTAAGGTAATAGTTATAATGGTAATACGCAAGTGCATTTTTACTATGCAGTCTAATGTAAATAATAAATATTATACTAGATGTATTATTTTAGTAATAAAGTATATAAAAATGTTATATAATATAAATTTGCGAAAAAAATATTTCAATTGTTTTATAATTTGGTGTATAAATATGTATTATATTATGTAGAGAATAGACAACAAATATTACTTTTTTCCCACAAATTATAATTAATTTTATATCACTCTATGAAATAATGGTTTGATATTTGCTTCAAGAATCAACAATAATAAATATTAAATTTATAAATATCAATAATAAAAATAATAATTATGATTTGGTTAAATGTTTCAATACCTTAAAAACTTATATGTTTATATAAATGTTGATAAGTTTAATGAGAATTACCAAGTTATTTTGGATCTTTCTAAATATTATTGCTGTATTTAAACCTAGTAATATTATATTACGATGATTAAACTAAAAAAATTTAACAGTAAATGAAAATGTAATTGTTGGACCACATAACACAGCTATTTATCTCTGTAACCAAATTTGCTGCCAGCCTTTTATTCTTAAACAATATTAACAATAGTAAAAAAAAGCTAAAAATTATTAAACTAACTAATTTTATATTAATCAATAAGACATAAAAATGTATGTAAAATATTTATAACTCTAATAATACATAACAATAATTCACGATAAATAAATTATATATTTTTTTATAAATACAATTTAAAGAATTATCAAATAAAAAAAAGTTATATTTCTGATAGCTGTAGCAATAAATTAAAACAAATAGCTGTAGTAGTATAATAGCAGTTGTCCTAGCCATATTTTCATATTAAATTACTTGAGCAGTTCATGTGCTCGTTGGTTCGCCACTGAAATTCTTGTTTCATTAGATCCAGCCTAAACAAATAATTAAAGTACAGTAAAATATTAACAAATTTGTGTAATTTATTTTATATTTATTTATATACATAAAAATGTTATTAGTTTGGAAAATGTTGAAGAAAGAAATTTAAAAATTAAATTATACAGGTGTGATACCAGTATATCACATCATAAATGTATTATAAATATAGTTTTTCTTAAGTTTGGAACATTTTAATATTATTCAAACTTATATCAAATTAGAAATTTTGATTTTAAACTAATTTAGTTAAATCTTAACGGCAAACAAATATTCAAATACATCAAATGTAAACTCCAAACAATAAAAACCAAAAAATACCTTCATGTTTATTCGTGAAACTTGTCTATTCTGATTCTCCAATTCGCTTCCCATATCCAGTGCCATGTTACGAAGATTTCCAATCATAGTATTAACTTGACCCATATTTTCTTCCATTTCATTTTCCCGTGCATCATTTGTAATTCTATTAATCATAGTAACAACATCTTAGTATAGCCACAACCATTAACCATAAAAAAGAAATAATATCAGAATAAATGGTATTTATAATCAAAAAAACAACTTTTAAGTTATAACTAATGGAGAAATGTAGTGTGGTTTTTTTAAGTTTTAAACAAAAAAATGTATTTAAATAGGTATATAGTTATATAATGAAAATCTCTAAGGAATCTTGTACGACCAGTATAACTTAATCAGAGCATTTGTGATAGTAGGCAGTTTATAATTTTAAATGGTTTTAATAATTTGAAATAGTACTATAAAAAACCTACTTTGCTATATAACCTCCTTGGGCACCCATTCCATTACGTTCATCCATTACACGCTGTGGTTGGTTGTTGACCACTTTACCATCATCATTACCTCGCCACGTACCTTCATCTTCTTTAAATGAAGCTGACCTTGTAAAAGTACACATTGGTATTATTAAACAAATAAAAGTCAATGTACATAAAAATATGAAATGTAATTTTTCACATACTTGTTACAAGGCAGCACACAAATTCCACAACATTTTTCCATGCCAGTAAGGTTCTTTTCTGCCTCTTTCATGTCAGCATTAATCTGATCCATGCCTTCTTCAATCCTGTCCAATTGTTCTATGGTTTTTGAAATATTCACACACACACAAATAAAAAAATATATTAGACACTACTTATAATAATATTTAATTTGAATAACAGAGTTGTACAAAAGTGTATATATTATTGTTTTTGTGTGTAGTGATTCTCCTAGAAATGTGATAATTAGACTCTGAACTAAACGCGCAATGCTTACATAAATAAAATATTAAAAGAATATCATAAGTTTAAATTATTATTATAATTTATGAATATATAATAATCACTTAATAAAAATAGAATGCTCATATCAAAGAACATTACCGGCAGTATCATATTATTTGATAATTATTATATTGTTTTAATTTTGCATAAAAAAACGTTTCCTCAGATTCGCATTTAGTTAGTATTTTTTTTTGTTTTGTACAAATTATGTTGTTGTTTCGTTAATTTTTGACATCAATAGGTTATAATTGTAGCTCAGTGGCGTAAGTGGATGATTAATTTAAGTTATTTTAAGTTATGTATAATTTGAAAATTATCTTTTAGATACATTAATTCTAAATTATTTTTAAAAAATTTCAAAATATGCCCTTATGATAGGTCCCAATACGCCACTAAAAAGATTAAATTAAAGCTATTTAATTCTCAATAAAGTGATGACATTTAATAGCGAAATTTAAATAGCATTAAATGTTCAATTAGGCATTTGAATTGACTTTATTTATTAAAATGTATCATGAATCAAAATTGTTTATTATTTTTATTTCACTGACTATATTTAAGTATTAATTAAGTTATAAATGTGAATAATATATAAATTACAAACATTTTTAGAATAATAAAATCCAACTCGATACCATTTATCGCGTCTCAGATTTCAGCATTAATATTATTGTTTTTATACTTTGTTTGTTAACTCGTTTTTTTTTTATTTCATAGCTCTTACCCCCTTGTTCATCCAACATCACTAGAGATTTCATCCCGACTTCATGGCTCTACACAAAAAAAAAAAAACAACAACAACAATAATCACCGACAACAAAGCCTTTGTCGTAATGATCAAGATAGTGTGTCGATGTATATTTTATATTTATTGTCTTCTATCTAAATATATATGCATATATATATGCATATATATATGTATATATATATATATAATATCTATAAATATTAAATGTATTTTTAACGTCTACAGGGATTTTTATCTATCTATTGTTTTTATAATATTATGTCTAAGACGATTGAATTAAAATGATATACAATATGGATTAGGTTATTTAAGTATAACAGGACAAATAATAATCAACATTCAACAGTTAAGGTTTATGAATAAACAAAATAATTATGCCGAGTTCATACAACAACAACAAGTCAACAATAACAACAACACAACAACTTAATTACTACTATAATAATATGCTATGCAAAACGAGGAAAAACGTTAAATATTTGAGTTAAATTTAAGTCTTAAGAAAAGAAATATACAGTGGCAAAATAATGAAAAAAATGGTTTGTAGTTCATACTTCTACATACAGTTACATTCATATTTTAGATTTATTCTATTGTTTATACATCCCCGAATAATGTTTTTAGTTTTTAGTTAAATATATTATCATAATATTAATCGCCTCTAATCTAAGAACTATAACATCACAATTGGGGCAGTTTATGAGGATTCAAATTAAAAGCAATTTAGTAAAATAACCTTAGGCAACATATGTCTTACCGCCTTGTATGTGCAAATTTTCTACGGTTTTTGTGCCAACATCTACACTCTACAAATAAAATATAAAAATCAAAATAATAAACATCAACGCTAGGTTTATATTATAGAATAAAATAGAAAAAATTATTTATAGTGTATAAAAGCAAAATAATTAAATAATATAAAAAATTTTATAATAGCGACAAACAAATGACCATTTTTAAAATACTATTGTCTATTACCATCTATAATCATTAATCACCAAACAATATAAATATTACTGTATTAGCTATTAAAATATATAAATTATTACGTGTATAATTAAAATCAAGCTTGAAAGACATAATTATAAAAGGTATTTTTAATTAAGCAAATACACATTGTATTGAACTCTACAATAAATCACTGATCCCTTTCTTTTATAACAGAGTAAAAAAAAAGCCCATTTTCCTTCCATCTTTTAATAAATTGGTGTTATAACTTTTAGTGTTTGTGTAATGATGTTGTGATTGATGATATATATACATTAATATATATATATATATATTAAGAGTTATAAATTCATTGGTTATGTAATTTTATTAATATCTGTGAGTTTGTGATTTTAGTGCTTAGTGAAACACGGTCGGTGGATAGATAAAAATTACCACCGCCGGTAATGCTCATAATTTTTTATCATCATTAAGTTTTTTTTTGATAACTTAATTATAAAAACAAGTTGACACACAATGTGAATAGCGCGCGTGCACTTTGAAGTGAACCATTATGATATATATGTATGTGTACACTGTATATTTGGATGAATGGATGTTAATGTATGTATATATATATATATATGTATGTGTGTGTGTGTGAGATTGTGTCCTTTAAAAGTAGACAAGATCCCGTAGTAACGGCAACGGCAGCAGCAACAAGAACATCAACTCACCTCCCTGGTCATCGAGTGCAACTAATGTCCTTATTCCAGCCTCCTTGCTCTATGATTGTAGTATTTGAAAGTAGAAGAGTGGTAGTAGTGATGGTGGTGGTAGGTGGTGGTGATCGTGTGGTGTGCGTGTGACAGAAAAAAAACCAATAATAATAACATTATATGAGAGATAGTGTAACCTATTCATTTATGTATACATCAATTCTGGTGTGTATTTTTTTAAATAATATTTGAAATTTTAAAATTATATTCACATACTTTTTATTTGCTTGTGTATAATTAAAAGTTTTTATTAGTTTATTTCTGTAAAATAATGTGTGTAAATTGGTTCTTACTGTATTATATTTGTATTCATACTTGCAAATTGATAGTTTGCCAAAATGGAAAGTTAATACTTATTTATCTTATAAATATACATAGAACAGTCTATAATGAACATTATAACTTTGATAAATATGTACCATCAAATATTGTTGTTTTGTGTAAAAATGTATTAGGAACAAAATATTACATTTTAAAATAGCTCAGTAGATACCAACTAAATTTTTTTTTTCATATCTTGTAAGTTGTAAATAAATGTTTATATTATTTTATTTATCTTTGCAACAATGTTTATCATAGAACCCTGTATAAAGTATCTAAATAAATGATTTTATAATATATATATATATACAGGTGTCTCAGTCAAGTATCAATAACTCAGATTACCGATAAAATGTACAAGAATAGTAATTACTTATCACTCTTGTCAAGTGTTATACACTTAACAATTATAAAAGCCGCTATTTTCTGTAAATATTTTAGTGACTGTTGTGTAGAAGTTTCATCATACACCAAAGACATTTTTAATAACAGTATTTCAATCAAATATACTTGTTAAAAATAATAAATAAGTCAATGTAGATGATAAAAAAAATAATAAATATACTAAAATAACGAAATATAAAGTTATTTTAAATATTACATTGATCAATTCATAAAGAATTTACACAAATGTTTTTATATTTTCACAAAAATGTGTTACAGTTTTATTTTTTTGTAGACTTCCAAGTTATTGAATCTCGACTGTATTATACTTGTTGAAAAATATATTACATTATGTTTGTTTCAAGAAACTGTTGAAGTAATGTTATTTTACATATTTTATATTAGTATGTATTTGTATGAGTTGGCATTTTGTGAATTTGTTTTACTGAATATTATTGTTTTTTATATAAATAATTCACATGTGTTTGAAAATTGAAGAACGAATCTTATCAATTTTTGATTTGAGAATGTAACAAGCAAATAATGCACAAGACAAACACACACCGACATGCAGCAGCAGCAGCAGTAAGCAGCACCAGTAGCTTTATTATTATACAAATTATAATATATGTTATATTTTACACTCACACCTATAAACATAATTTTATTCATGATTATGTTAATATCGGATTTAATGAAAGAAAATACGAGAACAATATTTATAATATTACCCTCGTAATTTAGTCAACTCTCAACATGTTATGTTCATCATTAAAATATTTCATTGCAGTACTACAAAATTCAAAAATAGTAAATATTTAATCAACAATATTGTTGCCTAAGTATATTAGGCATTAAATTCAATGTTATATTATAAATATTTAAACTTCTGAATTTTGTAAGTAACCACAAGTAAGAATTAATAGTAAAATAATGATTAATTCACAATATATATTTTTAGTAGGTATATGGTTAATATAAAGGTTCATTAAATAATAAATATATTATACTAAATAGTATTTAAATACTATCTTACCTCTTCACATAGAGCCAACATTCTTCTGGTACTTTCAAGTGACTATAGTTATAAATGGCAAAAAATAATATTTTTTATTTAAGTAGGTAGGTATACATCTAATGATATATACTTAAGAATAAAGGTAAACATAACTCACTTCATCTGTTACTTCTCCGGCTTTCATTTGCAGCTCTTGAAGTTCAGTTTTTGGTACAGCTGGCTGTGGTGCTCCACCGTCTGGTGACATTGCTGCATTTGATTTTGTTGGTGCAGGCATGGTTGAATTTTTTATGAGGTAGTTTTTTTTATATTTTTGCTTGAGCTGTATAAATATACAATGCATTTGGTTATGATACTTTCAATTTTAAATACCTTATACATTATACTGTTCTTAATTAATAGAAATAATTAAGAATATTTTATACTAAATATTTAAATAATTTCAATTGGTAATTTTTAAATGTATACCTTGTGATTTTTTTTTTAATTATAAAATGGATTGTCGTATTGATAAATGTTTAAATGTCACCATTTAATTATTTTAATTAGCATCATTAAATTATTATTTGGTAAATAAACAGTTAAGTAATTCAGTAGGTAATTAATATCCATACATAAATAATGGAAACGTCATCGAATAAATAGTACAGACGTACACTGTACAGTCATTATTCCAAATTCTGACTCAGGCACTCAGCAGTCAGTGCGGACGCACTGTCTTAAAACGAGAAGAACAAGGATATGACTACTATCGTAATCCCGCTGATACCAGTATAAGATATTGTATGATAAATTGATAACGATATAACCGATTAACGAATAGTAACGATTTTCAATTAGGAATTTTGTTTCATGAAAACTGTTAAGATTATTTCTAGTTTACATGGTTCGTAATAAAATGTAAATGTTGTAATCGGGATGTCAAAAAGATTGGGGTCTTACGTATTTTATACAAATAGATAATTTATAAGATTTAAGATAAAAGAACTTTATAATTTATAGTTATAATATTATATGAGATTATAGAAAGTTGGTATCTGAGAGCATCCTTTAATCTATAATGTTATGTATGTTTTTAATAACTAATAACATTAATTTAAAAACCATACTAGAAAATCCAATAGAAATAAAGCAGACCTCCTTTTCAGATAAAATATACCAACGTATCACGTATAACCTGTAACGTAATCTTATAAGGTTGATTACAGATACCCACGAATAAAAAATTTATTAAAAGTTTAAAAATACAAATAACTATTTTAGTATTCGAATTAATAATATTAAATATTTCTGTAGTCAAACAGAACAAAAATTTAATTTCACGTTTTAAGAATATGAATAGTTCAGTATAATGTTCACTCGAAGAACGAAGGTTGAGCCTCAAAATCATACTACACAAATATTTATTTGGTAAAAAAATCTGTGCCGAATTTTTGTATCTGTTTTCCCCCGCCATAAAAATTACATTTGTTCTGGCTATATAGTAATATGATAGTTGAAGGTTAACACTTGTATACTTCAGTTCTGGTTAGTGCCAACAAATATTTCGTTGTTCTATTAGTTATGAATAACATTTATTCCAAAGTAAATTATAATTATAACTATTTTTAAATACCTAATCAATAGCCATATTATAACCATCATGATCCTGATGGACATTTAAGTATATAATACATAACTATAATGCATTGGCGTAGGAGAGTAGTGGTGGGACGAGCGGCCCCCTTTTCGCTCAAAACTTACCTTTCCTTTCTCGGCCTGTACAGTTTTCTTTAAAATATACAATTAATATAACAGAACTTCACAATTTAAATATTTAATTAAATATACGATTGTATCCAAAAATGTGACTTTTTTATAAAAACTATTGCCTACAAGTGTGTATTAATATTTTTTTTAATAATAAAATAAAATAATTGACAATAAAATAATATAACAGTACCTAAATTATATTATTTGAATAAAAATTAATTTTAGTTTGACAAATTTTACTATCTTTACAGTCTTCGCCCTTCAAAATGAAATCTTAATTTTCGACTTCTTCGTGAATGCATATTTTATTATCATAATTATTATTATATAGGTATTATAAGGCTATATTAATTTGTATTAAATTATTGTAATATTTTATAACATTTTATTGCCAACTATTTATTTTTCACACTTAGTCTTATAAGAAATAATTGTTGTAACAAAATCACATATTTAGATACAATTATATTTAATTAAGTATAAAAATTGTGAAGTTCAGTTGCTATAATTATACATTTTAAAGAATACTGCAGTACAGGACGAAAAGGGAGGGTACATTTTGGCAGAAAACTGAGATAGTGAGATGTATGGATGCCCCCTTGGTTTTTTGATTAGTGATACTTTATAATCGCGGTTATAGCCTATAAAATTAATAAAATAATAAGTTATTTAAAAATCCCCCCTCCGTGATTTAGCTCCCGCTATATATGCTGCAGCTATTACATATCAATATCGAATATCATATGGTAATATATATTATAATACGTTTATGCATACAACTATATCATTGTAAGTAAATGTATGTAATGTGCACCTACTTTAAATGAATAAATGATTAGATACCTAGTACCTTTAAAATTTTTTTGCCATAAATAATTTTTTGAATACTGAGATTGATGACTTGAGCGGTCGAGCATAATGTTAGCAGTTTAGGATTGGATAAACTATAAAGATATATTGATACGTGTTTAATTTTTAAAAAATTATTCTATAGATACCTACCCTCCATTCACGTAGTTTACTGCAGATAAAAGCTCGTATATAAATAGGAGAGGACGGGGGGGGGGGAATAAATAAAATGGGAAGACTATCGTTTCACTTAAAAACATAAAATCCTGGATCCGAGTACTCGCGGTATCAAAACCGCATTGCCATAATTGGAGGGATCGATTCCGATCTCCCTATAGTGGCTTATTAGTCCCTTGATACAGCCATTTTATATGGCCGGTATGCGAGGTGTACGGTGTACTTTAAGCGGTTGTAGTGGCGGCGGGGGAGTCGAGCAACCTTGACCCATTACCGCCGCCGCACCCTTCTATGCTTGTAAGTACCTACATTGCACGTTATTGTTGCATTATACGTTGTCTGGATAACAAAAACGAAAAATGTAAACGAAAACAAATTGAGAGAAGTTCGTGATAAATACAGACGCCTACTGCATAATATAATGACTAATGATTGCAGCTTTATCGCTGTGGTTTCCGTATAAGCATAGAAGACGGAGACAGATATGTATAGTAATAATATGTAAACCATACAGTTTGACGAATAAACTTAACTGATAGTGAAATAATAAAAAAATATTTAGATAACATTTTTTATAATAATATGACCTGGTGAAACTACAAAAAATATTTATTTATAATGTCTATTCCTCATGTATTTATACATTTTTATTATGTGGGTGCGATGTTAAGTGAGTTGTAACTTGTAGCCTGTATAGGTACAGTGGTAGAGTACCCAAGGTACTTTGATGTTAAATAGGTATTTTGCATTTATATATACCTAACTATCTATATGTATGTATATATATATATATTATATATTATATAAAAATATGCAATATACACATTATATATAGATGGTTACGTAAACAAAAAAGTAACATTTTACTTGAAAAACTCTATAATTATACCATCAAAGATATTTTTAGTCGTCGTCATTTTGAACCTTGATTTTAACTTAGAGTAAAATTATTATGAGCAAACGAACTGTAAACTATAATTAAAAAAATTATATCCATGTAACTCATTCAGTCGTTTGTTTAAAAATTAAAATTAATAATTCAGGATAATAAAAGAACGGAAGAAATGAAATCAGCATTGATATTTAAATAGGTAACATTTAAATATTATTCCAATAGGTATATACTAAATATTAAACAGACAATATAATATAGTAGTTAATATGCTATTATTGAAATAAAAGATGTCCATACTAAATAAATTGAATTAATGTTTTAATTTAATAGCTGTGCGGGGGTGCTGTCGTGCTGATCAAAAACCTGAAAAAATTATGATAATTGGTCGAGAAAAAATTAAATACGGATATTTTTAACATAGGTATGTAACATTTTCGGGAGGCGTATCGATATGTTTATATTATAAATGAATCATAATGAAAAAGCCAAGGATCTGAAATCTGGATTCCGAAGAAAAAGTAGAGATATAGGTAAAGTTTTTTTTCTGCATTCATACGACATCATACAACTCGAATAATCTAAAATTAATTATTTTATTACTTAAAATATGAAACACAACCTAATCTGCTGTTAATAATATTTTTACAAGACACACGTATGTCATGAACAATCTTACACGCTGCACGACGGTTACAACTTAAAAACTAATGAGTAATAAAATTATACGTTCTCGTTATCTGTGATCTATGTCCTGTGATATATTAGGTATACAATATTACAATACATCGTACAAAGGTATTCACAACAGTCTTCACCAGGGTCTTTAGTCCTTTTTAGACAACGGGCCCACTATTATTTTTTTTAAATCTCGCTGCCGCTTCTCAATAAACAAAATAAGTTTTATAAATTACCTATTAAAATTCCTGCTATGCTTAAAATTAAGCATTTAAAATGTGCCTCAAATAACGACAAGGTGGGTTGAAGACCCTTGTTTACACTGTATAATGTACAAAGACAGCTTATGTAACGAGTAGGTATTTGATATTTTTTTTAAACGAGGCGGCGGCACGTAGCGCTAGAATAATTCTTTTGGTGCCTACCTATATAGCACATTCCGACCGCCGTCGAGTTATTTCACAGAGCGGTAAGAACAACAAAAGAAACATTAAACATACGAAAATAATTCCATCCACAAACCGGTGCTTACGCAAGCGTATAAAACTAATAATAATATAATATATCATCTGCAACTTACGATGATGATGTATACAGGGTGTATTTGGTAGATTCGACAATTTATGAACAAATAATACCACCGTAATAGCTAACAACAATTGTAAAAACCTGGGATCGTATATTTGTATCTACTGACACACCCTATGTACAGTACAGTACATTAGTTGTAGTACCTACACAAAATTAACCAATTGTGTCGTACTTTTTATAGACTTGATGCAATTAACGATGTCGTACAATTGGGTATAATTGGCAAATGACAATAGCATAGGTACCTATATCGGCTATATCGTATAATATGTACATAATATATTGTGTGTACAACGAGGCAACAGCATATTATTATTAGTGCTTGGCGTTTGCACGTCGCGTAATACAATTAGAAACAAGAGCGTAAAAAAAATGAACTAGAAAAGCCGAACGATTAAACTAAAATAATACATTGTCATTACTAATTATTATTATTATTATTATGTTTTATATCCATCCCAGCATGTACATGGATAGACCTTACAAACGCAGCAATATTTTGATTTTTTACAACAACATTAGACCGCAGACCGAGTTACGTGCGGCGGCGCACCTGTACAACCTGTTCGGCAGATTTTCGAATATTTCTGAAATATTATTATACAGGTAGGGATACAGAGATAGATACCTAGTACCTACAAACATTTTAAAAAGTGCTGAAGCCACGTCGTTTGCTTCACAAGGAACGTGAATTAAACCTACATAATATATAACATATAATAATAATAATAAGTACATTGTGTGTATCGCGATGTATTGAATACTGCCACAAAAATAGACGAGATTTTCGATCGAATCAATTATTTAAAATCTACGAAATGTTTCTGCACAAATGTATTACCTACAACGACGACGACGTTTACTGTCGATCCGCTGCGATACCACCACTGACGTCCAGTTGTAAAGAATGAGTAACCTGCAAGAATGAGTACGGTAGGTATTAGGTACTAAATACGGACCGCCGATTGAGTACTCTTATTTTGTGTGCGATAGATGTAAAACGATTCCGTCCGGCGCGGTCTTGGTAAAGCAAAACACCACCTCGGTCGGTCGTCGCCCAATCGTACTGGCTAGTGGCTGGTGCCTCCCGCGCTAAGCTCATAAATCACGGGCGGCCGTCTGGCGCGTGCGCCGCCTCTAACCGGCGGTGGCGGCGGCGTACGGCGTCGGTGGTTTATCGCCATGCGCCGCGGACGCGCATCAATATTCGGCCGCCGCCGCCGTCGTTCAATATTATCCCAGTATCCCACGACCGTCAGCCTGGGCTTAGGCTGCAGGCGTGAAGCCCATGGTATGGTAGAGTCATTGTATGGTATGGTGGGACGGTGCGGAGGTATCGTCATTGTCCTTCTCCCCGCCGCAGACGACGACGAGCGACGAGCATTCCCGCATCCAGTGTCCTTGGCGATTTCCCTCAGATTGTACGATTATAAATCGTACGAGTGTACAATAATAATCGCGTGAGCGTACAATAATAATCGCGTGAGCGTACGGTAATAATTTCGTGAGCATACGAAAATTATCGCGTTCACATATAATAATAAACAGTGGTTTTTGTATGTGTGCCTCGACATTTTTGCTGCTGCATAGCAGGCTGTGGCCTTGCACTTGCTATATTATAGACTATAGTAGATAGTAGATACTGATTTATTTCTACACGATTGCTATTTCCTAGCATCTAAATAAGATCACTAGCTACTAGTAAAATTGAATATAAATGTACCCATGATACACAGAGCTAGTGGAGCATCTACGTGACTTGAACTAGTGAATAAAAAAGTTAAAATATTTTAACTTCACTAAAATGCTAACTCTAGGCCCTTAGAATATTTTGCTAGTTTACTAGCCAACTCAATTGCAGAGTGCACTAGACTTTTTAACATGTAGATAAACAAAAGGCTTGATAATTGCTATTTGCTACTGGAAAAGCGTAGAATAATGTATGAACGACCCTTCGGCCTTTGCTTCGCATGGAGGTATGCACTAGGCGTAGTGAGTGGGCCAGTAGCCGTAGCGCCACTGGCATAGATTAGTATTAGTATACACTATACATAGAGAGTAGTGATACTGATTACGCCTCGGCTGGGAATAGGCTCTAGTCGTTTTCGAGTGTTCCATCGTCACGTATCGCCGCATCGGTGAACGAGCGTTAGTGGTACATTGCACTGCGTACCGACTTCTGCACGCACACGAGCGCGGAGCCGCTCTCACAAACACATTTTCTTATCCAGTTTTGTAACGGACAGCCGGTCGTACCATTGGAATCCACATTGTTTTGCCATTTGCCTTTGCCATAGCGCGTTTTCAAATTTTTCGTGTTCGATCCAACACGTTTTTATTATTATTGTTTACTTGTTACTTTTTCAGTACTCATTAGTTCAAAGTTATAACGACATTTTTTTTTCTGTTGAACTTGACCGATAGAAACTTGTTTCAATTGTTTTTATAATTATTAAAGTATTGTTCACTGTGGTTTTTCGGTATCCACGTAACTCACTTCCTAACGACAAAAAAAAAACAGAATGGAGACACCGAAAAAATCGCAGCCATCGCATCGCGACGTAAACGAAAAATATGACGCTACGACTTCCAGTCCGCTTAAAGGTATGTTCCGAATACATGATTAAGACCAACGTCCTTTTTTTTGTCACCCAGTCTTGTGAACCCGAAATTACTAACAATAACGTAAACAATGCTCAGACATATTTCTCGTGTAACAAATATACGAAGTTGTGTTCGCCTGGTGCTCATTAACTATCTTGGCACTCTACATTCGTTATTCATATCCCCTACGAACAACTAGTGGTTTATACCAAAAAATTCCCATGTTTTTGCTATTTTGTGTTTGACGTCGGAAAATAAAGACGTCATGTCTTTTAATATAATTTACTGTTATCTAACATAAACATGTCTCTTATTTTGCTCTGTTTACTAGCCTTGCCCAGTCCTAGAACACCTGTCCGTTCCACGTTCTATGACAGTGATGACGATGAATCAGACGAAATGGAAAGCCCTAAGTTTCCACATCTTATTCCAATTTATAGAAGAACTCCTGATGAATATGATTTAGGAGGTGTGCGTATTGGTTGGGACGATGGATATGGCAGTGTGTGTTATCAAGACGATGATTATGGTAAGAATAATATATATTATCTAATTTAAAATAATAAGTGTTAAAATTTTTTTTTTAAGAATTATACCCAATTTTAATTTTAATTCTGATTTAATATTTAGTTTCTGAAAGGAGGTCGAGAAGGAATAAAAAAAATAGATTATTTTCTGAACGTCATCATCGATCTTTCTTCAGATCAAACCACTGTAATTCATCAAACCCTGAATCACCTTCTCCGAGGAGTTGTTCAGATGCAAATAATACTGCTATACAGGAAGAGCTGAATAATTATCTCGAATGTATTTTGAATTGTCTCAGTAAGTAACATTCACTTTACTAAGTTTTTTATTTTGTCTGCATAGGATATTTTTTTTTCTTTAAACTCCACTTTTGAATAGTCAACAATATATTTTATAAATTCCAAATATATTTTACCATAGGTGCCAAAAAGAAAAATCGACAGTTAATGAAAGCAAAAATGGAGGCTAGTGCTTCTGCAAACAGTTTGACAGAAAATAATAATGTTAGTTGTTTATTGGATGACTCTGCTGATGATGAGATGATGATGTTGTGTAGTCAAGCTATTGAACAAAAAATAGCTGCTGATGCTAATAATACTAATAATACCTTGAATAAACCTACAAAATTGATTGTCTCACATTCTTTGTCAATTAATGGTATAAGCCCATTGAAAGATACCAATAATACAACAAATAATAATGTATATCACCATGTTGCCAAAAAGTTCAAACCAGTACACAGCAAACTCTTTGGCGAGGAACCGAAGAGCAATTATAAATCACAGTGTCACACATTAACTTCTGCTACTGTGAACAAATCTGAAAATGATAGCTCATCTTCAGCCATTAGCACTGTTACTAATTCTAAGAAAGATGATTCCTCGTCATCATTGTCGGATGACACTTTAGCCAAAGAAGATGAGTTCTTTATGGGCATTGATTTTTTGGAAATCGAGCAGCAAATTATGAATGACGCTAAAAAAACTTCTTCTGTATCAGCAACTCAAAATTGTTATAAGCAGCCTAACACAAATGTTGGCAAACCATTAGAAAAAAAACCAGGTAATATTTATTATTTAAATAGTACAAAACGTAATATATTTTTTGTTAGAGATTTTGAATCGATTCATAAATTAAAATGTAAATAATAACTTAAATCATGTTACAAAAAAAACTTGATAAAAATTAAAAATATTTTTGTCATCTAGTTAGTATTTTAGTTAACTTCAAGCTAACTTTGCCTGTTGAATATTATTATAGTACCATTTAACAGTATATTATATATTGAGAACTTTAATTAATTTAAGGTATACTATTTTTGTCGAGATTTTTGTTTCTTTAGCAAGCCTTATAAAATTAAAAATATAAAAATTATTGATAGTTAAAAAATATCTCTAAACATTGTTCTTATTTAATTTAATAGTCAGCTTATCAAAATGCTTATATACCTTTTATAATTATATTCTTTGACAACCGTCACTGTAAGTGTATAAATTAATAAATATTAAATTGTATAAAAAATACATAGCTAGGGTAAAAACTTGGATACAGGGTAAAAATAAATTTAGTTTAAATATAAAGCATGAAAGCCAAATAGTGTCGAGTCAACTTTTAATGGTCCAGGTGCTATATAGAACAAAATATAGATGGTTAAATTTCAATAAATTTCTGTATATCTATTATATGATTTTTTTCTAGCTTTAAGCAACTATGCTTCTACCAGTAGTTCAAGTTCTAATTCAGTACTTTGGCGCAGATCTACTTCATCATCGTCAATTGTTAGCAAGCAGCAACAATCAATACAACAACCTAAACAATTCAGCAGTGTTGTTGGGACAGTAAATAACTCCAGGTAAATAACATGATGACTATTTTACTACATTATTATTATTTTTATTATTATTATTATTATTGTGTATTTTATGTTTGTTTTAGCATTAGTAGTGGTAATGAAAAAGCTACAACCTCAACTACTACCAGATATTGCACACCAGCTGAAATAGAAGCAAAGCGAGATCGTGCTCGACGTACACTTCTACTTAAGTTTAAATCAAAAAATAGAAGTGTTTCATAAATTACTTTTAGTATTTGAAAATGTACACTACTTTTCATTAAATATATAATATCTTTTTGTCTATGTATTAATTTAGAAATGATAGTGTTAAAATTTTTTTTTATTAGGTTCGTATATGAGATAAAATATTATTTTTATTTATATCTGTATACTTGAATTGAAAGCAATTATTAAACATATATCAATATTAATATCTGGTTTATTTAAACTAAAAATAATATGTTTAATTGCTGATATCTTTCATTATTCTTAAACTTTGTGCATACTTGTAACCATTTTAAATTGTTGAAGTCCAAAAGAAAAAAAATTTTATAAGTTAACAATACATTTTGATACTAGTTTTATTTTAATATAATATGTTTTAAGAAATACTTACTAAGTAAATTTCATAATTCAAAATAAAAATTTGTAAGAAAACAAGTATTTTTTTTTTTTTTTTGTGATTACATATAGTTTATTGTAACAAGTATGCTGACATATTCAATGTGTTTGAGTGACATAAATAATTTCAACGTTGACTTATTTCTTATTGTACCCTGTTTGACATGAATGTCATAAATTTAGCGACCATACTTTTTCTTCATCTTTAAAATAATTTTGATTATTTGGAATCCAGATTGAACCTGTAAGAAATTAAATTTTTAATGCCAAATGTCCTCAGTGTTTTGGTGTTTGCCTAATAATCAAATAATAAAAATTATAAGTTTGTACAGATTTATTATTTGTAAATAAGACTAATGTTTTCTATTTTCATGAAAATTATAAAATTATGTTTATTAACTTTCATCTGGTTCTGTACACACATCCCGTAATCGGGTTGAATTTGTTTTATTTATTGTAAAATATGCAATGACCATGGGAATATTGTGGTAGATGTGTCATATTAAATATGAAGTTTATGAGCCTAGAATACCTTTTTATGGACAGAAGAGAACTAAGATCTTAGTTTGTGATGGATAGTTAACGTAACTATTCACTATTCAGTTTGTAGGTTTAAAGGTTTAAGTATAAGTGGTTCATGGACTAGACAGTAAATATTCCATTGAATTTTTGAATGTTTGAGCGGTGGCGAAAAATGATTTTGTCATGGGAGGAGATCACTGAATTTTAAAATGCACTATTTAAAAATTAAAAATATAATTTATGGTTGTAAGATCATTGAAAATAAAGGTCAAGGGGGATCTATGATCTTCATCATCACTACCCCCCCTCACCAACACTGCCTTAGAGTGTTGAAATTGTGATAGTTATTGTATTTTATTTGTCACATTTTTGTCAAGATAATGTTCATTGAATTTGTATTACTATCTACTAGGCCATTGATTAATATTATTATCTGTTACCCATCTATATTATTGTAATAGGCTTCTTTTGAATTTTAATCAACGAAATAAATATTTTTTAAATATAAAATAGTATTGCATATTGCCAAATGTATGGCACTCGCATGGATTTTTTTCCATTAATTTTTTTCTGGGCTTTTTTACAGTCTACCGCAGTACCAATGAAAAACATTTTTGCATAATTTTTTTTTTGAACAGCACTTGATGGCTTACAATAGACACAAAAACATAGATTGGTTCCCTGTTTGGCAAGATGCTCATTTGGGTACCATTAGATTTCTGCCACACCATGTTGAGAATAATCAACAAACATAATAAATTATTAACTACTTATAGAGTCATTTGAGTTAGCCGATAGAACAAACTAGCATATATTATTACATTATAATTTTTAATTCCATTTATTTTTTAAACTTTATAAGAACATATCAATAGATTTATAAAATTATAAATATCTTGCATACAAGTTACAGTTGAAAACGAGTTTCGCATAACATTTTAATTTATAGGTACAAAAAAAATTTCCTTTACAATATTGTTAAATGAAGTTGCAAATATTGAATAATAACTTAGATATATTATGCAATATTCAAATATATATAATGTATCTGTATAGTATTATAATTAATAATTTCAATTTTTTCTGTTGAGTATGTGCGTAATAGAAAAGTTGTCGCTAAATTGTAATTTTATAATGTCATAAATTAATATGAATATGGTAATATATAGCTTTGAAGTAACATAATTTAAAAAAATAACCAAATAATCAATTTTATAAGTAGTGAATTATAGATTTGACAAATATTAACAAATATTTGAATACATTGAAAATATAAACAATTGTAGTATTATAGGTACATATAAAATTAGATGTTCAGACTATTTCACTGAAAATTACTATAATTATTATAATTTATTGAAAATTAATAACACAATATAAAATAACCCAGTTATTAAAATTAAATAATTTTAAATAAATGAAAGAAAAATTATTAAAACATACCTGACACTTACATAAGTTGCATAGTGTTTTCTTACTGTTTAATTGTAAGAGTTAAAAAAGGATAAATAATAATAAAATAAAAATAAATAGTAAAAAAATCACACCTTAAATAACAATATTTTTGAAACAATAAAAAAAATAAGTTAACTAAAATATGCAGCTGAATAAAATCTATTTTCTTGATATAATAAATATTATATAATATTCTGCTCAAAATTGTATAGTTTTATGAAAATAATCATTTATTTAGTGTTAAAACGTGATAATCAAAGATTATATTCAGCCACATAGTTAATTATTCCATAATAAGTTTATTTTAACAAAATAATAATAATTAAATTCTAGGAACGCGTAAAACAATAAAAATAATCTTTATATGCATGTATTGTATATTGCAAATATGGTTGTGATTAATTAAAAAATAAAAGTGCAAAAAGTAAAAGGCTTTGTTAAATTATGTAGTATGACTATTTATAACAAGTTTAGGCAAACCTAAAGTCCATCATAAATAAGGTATTATATATATTATACAATATATTTAAATTTCTTAAATATGTATTTTATAGTAACACTGTACTATGGAACAGTACCAATAAAATAAGTAAATAAATTAGTATATAAATATAGATATCTAGATAGTACATTTTCAGCTAGTCTTGGGGTTTCAAGTCTTCAAAAAAGATATATATATTTTTTTAAATTACATATATTTTAATTAATATTAAATATATTATTTTATGATAATAAACACTGATACTGTTAATATTACGATAAGAATTATAATTGCAATACATAATATATTTACAGTAATAATTGTAATAATAATAATTATTATTATAAAAATCATACATTAATATTCTCGCTAAAATGTATATAATATATATATTATGTTCTTGATCAGACTTAATAACTATTATATAGGACTATGATTGATATTGCACAATAAAATTCCTATAGTATTTTTGTCCATTCATATTATGTTAATTTTTACATGTCTATTAAGTTACTTGTATAAAATTCTCGGCATTGATATTCAGTATCAATCATAATTATATAAAAAATTTAACTGATTTTTAAAACAAACCGATATTTTTTTGGAACAATGATATATTTTTAAAATGATGAAATTATGTCAGCATAAATACAATCTATTTAACTTTTTAAAAATGTTTATATATGTACACATATATAAATTTACAAATCTCTAAATATTTGAGTATTGCTACTAACACAGTTAAAAGCAATTAAAAAAATATTATATGCATAGAACAGAAAAAAATAGTTTGATGTGTTAAACTTACATTGTATATAAAAAACAAAACAGATGATTTCTTAATGTAAATTTGTAAACAAATTTAATACATTAATATATATTATTATATTATACTTCAAAACCGAGAATTTCATATCATTCAATAATGTAAACAATGTGTCTTGCCAATAAATACACAAAATATTCAATACATTTATAGTTTTATATACTATATATTTCAGTAATTTTAACATACCTGATTTTATTAGGAGTATTGATTTTAAAATTAAATATTAAATATAATTAATAAATAGATAATCAATTTTCACAATAATAAACACTAAATCCCACGTTACATTATACATGTTTACTAGTTTCTTAATGAAACATCTTAAATGTTATTTCCATGTTTGATCAATATTAATTGTAATGTAAAAAAAATAATAATAATGTTAAAAACATAGTTAGAAAATATTTTATCTAGGATGTATCTATGTATATTGTAATTTCTTATTGAATACTTGAATTATATCAGAACATAAATAATACATATACATAAAAAACTAACACATTTAATTTAGTTCTATAATAAACACCCAATAAAATCACAATATGTTGTATATATATATTATATATATAATAATAATATTAATATCAATAATATCAAATTTATAATTGCATATTCATAAAGATTTTAGTTATTAGAATAACTACAATCTAAATAGCTATTTGTTCAAACTTAAAATATTACTCTTAAATTTCAATTTTGTATTTAATTAAACAAACAATAATGTGTTTTGAATTTTCTATAATATCTCTCAAGACCAAATATTGTAAGGGTTTAATTCAAAGTGCTTTTCAGCAATCTTAATTGGAAAATCACCCACCAGAAAATAATTAATTAATTACTTTTGAAATTTAAGAAAATAAGGAATAATATAAATCTATGTGTCTATAAACTTTAACATCTTTATAGGTGAATAACATAAAAAAAAATGTGTAATAATAATGATTAAAAAAAAATTACTTTGAATAGAAAAGTTTGACACTAGAGAGCTAAATGGAAGAATGCATTATAGATTAGCACCAATTTGAGTAATATTGTAACATATTTTCAGTAACAACACTACTATTATTAGTTAATTTAGAGTAAATATTTTCTAACAGCGGTCCAAATGTTAAGAAAATAAATAAACTAATTATGTGTACATAAGTATTTATGAATAAAAACAATAGGTAAATAATAAAATTAAAATTAAAAAATAAAACAAACAAAACAAAACAAAAACAAAAATAGAGAAAAATAATTGTCAATAGAACCGCCGTTATAATTATAATTTAGAACAAGTTTAAGGATTACTACTTCCTAACCAATAATTAATTTAGGTATAGTGCTAGTTACCGTTTAGATTATTCACTTTAGATATTGAACCTGGTGCTGTAACAAATGTGATGTCTGGTTTATTTTGTTGAGATTGAGTAGTACTACTTGTTATAATATTTTCAATTTCATCATTGTCTTCATCATCTTCATCAGAACCTTCTTCTCTATCACTTTCAGACAAAACATCTACTCTAAATGTTGATTTGTCAGTAGCACTAACAGTAGCAGTGGCTACAGTAAGTGAATTATCTCCTTGTCTCATTGTTGACAAGTAGTTAGCCAATGTGGTTACAGTGACATTTAATATTTCTGCTGCTCGGAATAGAGTTAATTCTTTTCTTTGCAATTTAGCCAATACATCGGCTGGACCTTGTTCCAACCAAAAATCTCGAACTCTGTAGAATATAATTCCAATCAATGACATCAAATAAAAGAAAAATGTTATTACTTTACCTGTACGGATGTTTTAAGCAGCCATAAGCATCTCGATATCTACCGTAAAGGGTTCCATAAGATACTCCCATTAACTCTGCAGCAACTTTCATTTCTAGTTCTTTATTTTTAATTGCTTCCATAAGTCTTTTGGTAAAAGGTTCTTCCCAAAATTGTGGACGGCGCCCACCTGATTCTAGATAGTCATTCATTTTCATTACATCAGAAAATTGGCTTAAATCTATTAACACAGAAATAATGAAGTATAAATATAAATATTTTAATAACACTTGTAATTATGAATTATACCCGGAACATGCGCTGGTTGTTCACTGAATCCTTGGCTAACATTGGTGACACTACTTGCTCTTTCTTCTTCGGATGAAAAAGTTGTTACATTTACTGTACCAGTCTAAAAAAAATTATAGTATTTAGTTGCTATTATATTTTGAATGAATTATATTATGTGTATTTGAAATTTAAAGAAAATGTATATTACATCCATACCCAAATAAGACAAAATCGTACTTTTTTTTTCATTTGAAAAAATCTTAAATAGAAATTTACTTACTGTTGGTTTAGGAAGCTCTACGTTATCAGTATCGACAACATGTTGCATTTCTGGTTCCCAAATGGACTGGTCAGGTTCAGACTCATCTTCAACATCTGCTCCATCCATATCATCATCATTTTCCTAAAAATTAAAATTAGAAATTAGAAAACAATATAAAATAATTATATCCTAATAACATTTACTTGTTGTTTATCTGTAAATTCTTTTTTTATATTAGCAGTAGTAGCAAGCGTTGAATCTAATTTTCTCTTCTTGCTAATATTTGACTCATCAGAAGTTACATTAAAACTTTGATTTTGCTGTTCTTGATCTGATCTCCATGATACTTCAGCCAAGCCTTTAATCTTAAGTTCTTCTGCAGTTTTTAACAAAGAAGAAAGCTCAGTCTAAAATACGAATTAACAACATAATTAATGACTAATATTTATAGTAAAATATAAGCCTTAACACTTACATTTTCAACATTAATTTCTCCTTTGTACATAAAACTGACTAGAGCTTGAATATCAGAGAACTTAACATCTTTGAGAATAACTATAGCTTTATTCTCATCATGCTGTGACAAAATAGTATCGAAGTAAGTACTACAGGCAGAAAGCATAACCTGAAAACATACATAAATATAATTTATGTAGAAATTTTAACTAAACTGTATTAAGTATATACCTTATGGGCTCTAAGAGTTTTTCCCTCACAAGCCAATGTAACATCACAATAACTTTCCCGTTCTAAAAGTTGGGAAAACATTGCTTGTAAATTTGAGTGATGATACTTCCACCGTAAACAATATTGTTGTGGTGCTAACGAGTTCATATTGTCCTCAGTTGTGGGCCGCATTGATATATTAAAAAATGTCTGGTTTGTGAACAACCTGACAAAATCTTTTAATCTACCATAACCCTAGGAATACAAATGATAGAAACCTGAAAAATTAAATTTATATTTACTTATAACAACTTAATGATTATTTTCATCAAAATGAATCACTTAAAAATTAATTTTTTTCTTTTACAGTACAAGTTTGTACTTATGTTAATTATTCAATGGTTATAAGAGCACATCGATTGTTTTCTCTCTGACCCACATGCAATATGTATAATTTTCCTTTTAGCAGAATCAATCTTGTGTAATTACCTTTAGTATAAGAGTGAATAACCTATCATCAAACTTAAAGTTAAGTTTTTAAGAACATTATCTGTGTTACAAGTTTGGAGCTATTTTTAAAAAATATCTGTTTGTATCCAAGTTACGATTATGTAAAATGTTACAGTTTAAAAATGCTCATAAATAGTAAAAAAATTTCAATATCATAAAATGCAATCGAACAAACATATATAGTTTATGTACAACTACCTCAAGCAAATATAGTGTAAGTTATAATATGTAGTGTGTTTGTATAATATGTTTGGTTATACCATATTGAGTATGTACTATATATTGTACAATAAATACTCAGTGGTTATACCGAGTTAAAGAAAACCGAAGTTATGAAATATAAATATAAATACATGATGAACTACTACAGACTGCTTTCAGATTTTTAGAAAATATTTTAGGGTACATTGAGTCAAAAAAGGTTGAGAACCTCTGGATTAATCTCTTCTAGTTGATAAGAGTTAATACTTAATTTATACATTTTCATATATTAATAATCCTAGTTATAAATACAATTCTGTGCCTTTAGAATTGTTATATCAACTTACCAATGTATTCCACCCTTATTTGTAAAGTACTAATGTCACATTGAAGACAGATTTATATTCAAAGTTAAAAGTTTACATTAGCTTTTTATTTAATAGACAATTGCCATTTTTATTTTCATAAAAAAATAATGCATGAGTCCAAACAAAAATAGTGACCAAAAATATTAAGGTACTAAGTATTCCTTAAAATATATTTATAGCTTATTAATCATAACAAATTATTGTTATGAAGTAATACAACATAATGATTGATCTTAACTTCCATGGATTATAAATTAACACCTAAATAAAAATTCACATAGAACCAAAATGTTCCATAATATATAGAGTACCTCATACAATTGTATTATAATGTGAAATATTTAAACAACAATATAGGTTCCTGATAATATTTCTGAAAACCAAATCTCAAGAATCAGTGTGTTAGATAATATAATGACAGGATTTATATGACTAAAATAAAGAAACAAAAATTATAATGAAGAGACAAGGGTGCAAAAAGGTATTTAAAGCACTGGAACAAAACATCAATACTACTAGATTTCTGACTCATCGGACAACTTAGCAGAGAGAGATTTATGACATTTCTATTACAATTCCAAAATTCTTAATTAATACAGATGGGCGAAAGTACAGTAGTATTAACAAATAATGAGTTCAGTAGAATTGAGACGGAACTAGGTAATCAGATTACAATAGAAATAAATGATGGGTGCTGGCTAAATGCATTGATCGGTCAATTAGATTATTCTGACTGTAATTATGTTGTCAACTAAACATAAAAAGTTTACAATATTCAAAAAGTATGATTTGAAATAAATAAAATAAACATTTACATTACAATTTGGTAAAAAAAAAGAATCCTATAATGAAATATTATGAAAATATTTTAGAATTTTAATGGAATTTATTGTTTATCCAAAATATAAATGAGTAATGACTAATGTAACTAATTATTTAATGTCGAATGTATCAGTATAATTTTTTTTAAATAAAACATATTTATATGTAATTCTTAGTCAGTGATGAATCATTTAATTGTATTGAACTCATATTCATGAGTCTTAACTCAATTTTTACATATATTGTACTATTATATTAATTTATATCTGTGACTATTATTTAATATACTTGTTTGTAATAATAAGGTATTTAAAACATCTATGTTGTTATAAAATGCATACAAAACAATATTGTTAATCAATTTATAAAACATTTCATAATATATGTTTTTATAATTGTTAATTATTGAATACAATATATAGCAATATATTTTGACTTATTTTGCTATTTACTTGGGTTTACATTATTTTTTAAATGTAATTGATTATTCAATAATTATCATAACTATATCTTAAACTTTTAGTGCATAATATATTATAAGTATTTGATGCTTGAGTATATTTAAATTTTCTAACCATTTCTGTCCACTTCAATGAAAGTTATAAAAATAGGTTATTGGAGCTAAATTTTATTTTTAAAGGAATGGTAAATTAATGTATCAAAAAATGAATATGAGTAATGCTGTGTTAACCAAAAAAAAGGAGAAAGTGTTCCTAAAATAATACAGAGAAATATAAAAATGATTTAAAACACTTTTTGTGTTTTATTTCAAATGTATAGAGTTACTTCATTATTGTACAACCAATAACTTCTTCGCATTGATTGGCAACTAAAAAATTATTTTGATCATGTAATAAAAAATAAGTTTAAAAAGAAGTATTTCAATTGTAATTCAAATATATTTTGTAATGCATTTAAGTATTATTTAAATATTCTAAAGCATCTAAGGCAAATGTTGAATACAATTGTTTTTTTTATCAATTAGTAAATTACATTAACTCAGATATATCTTTTTTAACATTTTCTAATTTTAGATATCCATTTAGCTTTGTTTGAAGGTTTTGACAACTAAATTTAAATTATTAACAAAACAGCTGTAAGAAATAATTATCAGTTGTAGTTCAATATGGAAACTTGATTCTACAAATACCTCATTATTTATATTTATTTATTAACAGTTTATTAATAGGAACTAACACACAAATACTTGAAAATACTGTGACTAATTTAACAATTCAATTACAATTCCTTCAAAAATACTCCTAGAGAATAATTTAAGGTGTGTAAGGTAATATATGGTACCTAGTATTTTTAAACTTGAATTAATTAATAATAATAAAATGTAAAACAAATACAATCTTCAAAGTTTTATTTTTGCTTTCTATATCAAATAAAACATTCAAGTTTTATATAAAAAAAGGTTTCTGAGAATGTAAAATTTTAACATATTCATTAATAATTTAATAACCTCTGACAAATAGCTAAATAACGGTAATCTCATTAATATAAAATTATATTCGTAAAAATGTTCAGTATTTAAAAAAAACTTTATTCGGAAGTATAAAACATTCTGTAAATTATCATTTAGTATAGTTTGACTCATGTTTCATATACCTTTCAAGAATGTTAGTTTATGTGTATACAAAAATAATTTTCAAGTTAAAATGATATTAAAAAAAAAGTCTAATAATTTACTATTATATTATATTATATCCACCATATTTTTCTTTTATTCCTATAAAGCCTATATAGAAAACAGAGTAGACCACCTTCATAGGTGGATATTGAGGGGCTTAGTCCCGCTAGAATTATTAATAGCCTCACCCGTAAATTAAAACTATTCGAAGGATTATTGCATCATTATTGTTATTATTGGATTATTCTAGCCCCCATACAAATTTTAAAAAATGTCCGCCTATGACCACATTGTATACTAAAAATGATTATTAAAAGAATTGAATTTTCAAATATATTGTTGAGTCATTTTTACATTGTTTCATAAATATCAATGTACCTAGGCTGTACCAAAAATATTTGTATCACAGCTTAAAGCATGCTTTATAATAAAAATAAAAAAGGTACCTACAAAATGTGTGAAATGTATACCTACTGGCTACTACATAAGACTTTGTATAATGTAAGATACAAAGTAATAGCACAGTTTCCAAGATCCAAATAGTTCATAGTTTAATAACCATAATGCACAATTTTTTATTTAAATATTTATGTCACAAAATAATACTCAAACATTTTACAATAAGTGAATCTAATACTTGATAGAATAATTTGCCAGCTACAAGTTAATAATAAAACATTTAATAGTTTTAATAAAAACTAAAATGTAAGAATAACTTTATTAGAAATATAAATGTTAGCTTTAACTTCGGCATTAACACTTATTCTCAATTTGTCTTCTCACTTTACAACAAGTAAATGAAATCTGTTATCTTATTTATATTTACCATACAAACTATGTGTTTTACCAATCGATTTATAATTACACAGACTATAATTTATCAGCTATGTCAACATCATACATTGATTAAATATACATTAATACATTATATACTTAATCAATGGTAGATAACTATTTTTTCATTAAAGCATTTTAAATTTAAATTTTGTCTTATTATCATGAAGAGCTAATATATCTGATTCATGTTGTAAAATATATATTATTAATTTAATAGAGGGTTTAATATGACAGAACAATGATTAATAAAATTGTAATCCTTAAAGAAAAAATTTTAAAAGTAGTTTAATGCATGAAAATTAATACATTAATATTAATTACAAACTTAATGTGTATAATAAGTTATCATTTATGCCAGTAACACCTTTTGGAAAACTTATAATGAATAAAAACATTTTTTAATTTCTTCAGCATCCCTAAATCTGTTGTTATAGAAACATCTTATGATTAAAAACCAGCAAACTTAACCAGATTTCTCCAAATTAATTAACTAAATTGTATTTATGAATTTTTATTTTGTCTACAAAAATTTTGTTTCCTACAACCATGATTATATTATTCCTACAAAACTTATTAACAAGATTAGAACTAACTTATTTTATCAATATTCAAGTTTGTTTGATTTCATAATTAGTAAAACTGTTAAATTATTACCTAATTGCATTTATATAGGTAATGACACTTTATATTATACTACTTACTCTACATATTTGTAAAGTAGGATAAAATAAATATATACGCGCACATATTAATTATTAATTTATATCATATTTTTTGGCAATAGAAGTTAATAAACAATGAATAGTTTCTAAAGCTTATAAATACTAGAAAAATATTTTTATTTACAAACATAATATTTTTTTTTTTAATGTTGTAGCTACATCAATCATAGATCAATGAATTCAATATTTAATATTTTTAGGTTTAGAGTTACTTTTTATTTTATAGGTACTAATTAATGGATTTATGCTATGAGTATAACACAACAGAATAAAATGAACGGCTTTACTTTAAAAATTAGATTTCAATATAAATTAGTGATGAAATATAAAGAATAATATAATTTAATCATAAATACACATTGAAAATTTTGTGAGTTCTTTGCATTATATTTTCAAGCCTAATTAAAGGTTTTCATTCAATGGTTTATTTATTTTTTGAGCCTTAACCATAAATGTATCTATTAATCTATTGTCATTTGTGTTTTCCAGTATCCACAGTTATTAATAAAATGTATTTAATTGCAGAGTTGAGAAATATATCAAACCAATATAATTTATTTTCAACTAAAAAGTTATTTTTGGAAATGTATTAAACAAAAAAAAATTATGTGATTGATTGTATCCAATTGTGTTATGAAACCAACTTGAAAATTTTTTTAAACATTGTGTGATTTATAGCAAAAAAAAAATGATGTTAGGTAAGTGAGTGATTAAAATTCAAACAAATGTTAAGATAGTAAATTCAGATGTTTTTTTAAATTAAATTTTTAGAATAATAGGTAATTATTATTTTATTATTTTTAAAAACTTAAGATTATTATTTTAATAGTATAAGTGTACTTAGATAAGTTAACTTCAACATATTACATTATATTAAAATATTATACCAGGTATTTTTAACTAATATTATAAGATATACAATTTAATAAAGTACATTTATTAATACATTTATCTTTAAAATATTAAATTAGTATTTTCAAAAGTTAGGAAACTTATAAAATGTTTAAATTATTTTCTATTTAAATGTTGAAGTATAATTTAAATTATTTATAATTACCTATAATATTGTTAAGATCTAAGTCTACAATAACCTTATAATTTCTGAAGAGAGTTCTGAGGAGACAGATTTAAAAAATAAATATAAATATTCCAATATTTCTATATTTTATGGTCTTACTTTATTAAAAATATATTTAATTAATTTAATTATTTTGGCTTGAGTAGGCTTAAACCTACCTTAAGAGAATTTATTATTAGGTACAATAAAACTTAATCCACAATATACTTTATAATTATCATCACTAAGAATATTCAATTTAACGTTTAAAATTAAGACAACAAAATAGTCATTGTGAAGATTTTATACATTCCACTGTCATTTTTACTATGCAATAACATACTTACAATTTAAAATTAAAAAATAGAATGCTAGATTATTAAACCCAAATTGGTTAAATGGTTATTAAATTACAGAACACACAGTACTAAAATATGTATAGAATTTGATTTGAACTATATTTCAAAAACACAAGTTAATAAATAATTTTTTTAATGTTTGATTGAATAATAAAATTATAATTTACCATCAATTAAATCATTTAAGAAATAACTGTATTTATTATAATAAGTACAGCTATTAATATTAATGATATGATGTAATAGTTCTAACATTAATTTTTTTAAATTTAGTGTATTATACAATAATTATAGGTTAAATTAATTAAATGAATACTTATAAATTACAAATCTTATTATTTCAACATTTAAGAACTTCCTAAGGTTTTTAAGTAAATCAAATATATTTCAATGAAAACTTGTATGAATTGCTTGTAAATATTTATACCTATTAGAAAAAAATGCATTTTAATTGTGAATAGGTACTGATTATATATATACAAAGAACTAATGAATAATAAGTACTTAATAAAGTTCCAACAGTTCCCTACAATAATGTTGTGGTTATAGACATTTTTAGAATGTAATGTAGTTACATTTAAAAAGAAAAAAACAACGAATATCAAACAATTATTTTATGTATTTCCACACCTGTTTTTCACTCAATTTATTATTGCCTATTAATTTGAAATAATTTTTATGGAAGTATGTCAAATTATTAGAAGTTATTAGGATAAATTGTATGTTAAATGTCATCAAATTGCATGGTTGACTAGTGAAAAATTATGAGACTGAGAACTTTTACTTATGTAATTTAGTAATTTCCAAAGAATAATCTTGTTAAAATTTACAAATGCAGTCAATAAAAATGTCCATTTTAACAACAGATATGGGTAGCTTACCAGCTTTTTTTCGGTTTTAGTGGTTTGATGCTTCTTCGATGTCACGCCAATCACGAAATAACCATTAATTGTTAGAGTAACAAACACAAAATTAAGAAAAACCCTCTATTAAAATGATAAATTGAGCGATAAGAATAATGCGGGGATAAGTAATTAATGACTACTCTATACTCAAAACTCGATCCACACCACAGTAAATATTAGAAAAACAAAAAAAAAATAATAGAACATAGTTATCATAAAAAAAAAACAAATTGAAAATAGATATCAATAAGGTCATTAAACTGTAAAACGCAAAACGCTAGTGTACCGTGTTAATAACATTTATTCGGTATAATATACTTCTCCGCAATTTTCATACTATCATATTTGCAAGTGCAATTTGATTCTGATAACTGCAGACTGATTCATACGTCAACTACGGGATTAAGTGATTTTTTTTTCAAATTTTTTTCTTTTAGAAAAAACAAAAAAAAATTGTATAATTATCAGAATGTGTAATAAAATAATAAATATTAATTATCAAGACAAATGGGAATATTGCTGAACGCCATCCGAAAGAAAAACGTTTTGTATCCCCAATCCCCATTCCCCGGAACATCGGCTAGCGCACCACCCATCCAAAGAACCAACGGTGGCGATGTGAGTAGTGGGAAAAACTTGGACGCACGGCGACCTGTCCCGATGTCAACTACGTCAACCGTTAGTTTCATACACTGCTTACTATTGATAATGTCTAGTGTACATACAATATATATACATGGATACATATTATGTATTATAACATATTAATGTATTATAATTATTATAATATTATTATCTAAAATTATCTATGATTATAGTATATTATTATATTATATTGTAATTATATTAGGTGTATTATATTTAAATTGTAATTTTGTCATTATGAGTTATGATCGCGAGTTATGACTTACGAGTGTTATGCTTATGACAATTGACAATATTGACAAGTGAAAACTCGAGGTTATAAATATAATTTATAATTACTAAATATTAAATACTAAAATACCTATTAATACATACAATACATACGGTTTACTCGTAACGTACCGACTGGCAACTTATTATTACCTACTATGTAGGTAATATTATAATACCTATTCATAATATCGTACATTATATAACCAATGCCACACACTGCACACATCTTAGGCGTAGACTACAGGTCACAGACATTTTTAGTGGGGTGGGGGCAATAGCATAACTTGAAGTTAATTTGTTTTTGGGGGAGGGGACAAAATATGAAAATACTTTTTTACCTATTGACTAAAAGTATAGGTAGTGGGAGTGAAGGTGACGCCCTTCTACCCTCAATTAATTTTATGAAGAATAAACCTATACATGTAAGCACCAAATAGTGGTCCTTGAAGTTTGGTAGAATAAAAAAATGAGTGAAAATATAATAAGTATTACCTGTTAGCTAACCGTAACCTATCCGTATTATAATATGAACAATCCTAAGCAAATCTATAAGGAAAAATGAACATTAACTATATAGTTTTTAAAGTTTTAATCATCCTAACAAGTTAGTTAATTCTCTAATAAACCTAATAATTTAATTAATAATTAGATTAACTTCCGTTGCTATTTATTATTATCTTGCTTTTTTCAGTTAATTTAAAAAATAAAAGGTTATTATTATAAAGATACATACCTAACCTACATGTTAAATTAAAAACATGTTATACATCGAAATTGATAGCTGCAACTACATGTAGTTAAAATTGTAAATTAACTAAATATTTTTTTTGAAAACAATGATCTGAAACAAAAGTAGACAATTCAAATACTATATGTTTGATTTAATAATTTAGTGCGCACAATCAGTGCCGTCATTTGAGTGGTTCAGGATGGGCTAATTGGCCCTGCCTGTTCGTAAAAGGAGTCCAATATTGGGCTGGCTGTTAGTGAAATAATACAACTAGGTATAATATTTTTCTAACTTTAAAGAAAATAATGCAATTTATAACACAATAGGTATTTTGTAAGCACTAGAAAACTATCGTCACGATGATAATTTATATTTATAGTTTTTCAGTTCAAATAGATATAGGTATAGACTCTGA